AGGGACTGCCTCAAAGGGACTGCCTCAAAGGGACTGCCTCAAAGGGACTGCCTCAAAGGGACTGCCACAATTCATCTGCCGTCCCCTTTCTCAGACAAGCTCGACAATGACAAGTACAACCATTCATTGTCCATTGTGCGCAGGACGTTACATGGTGTGACGCCGATTGTCCAGGGCGAAGTTCGGACCAGTGTCAAGACATTGGCTGCGCTTGCTTGGCCAACTCCGAATCCTTCCAATATCCTCGAGCTCGACCAAAAGACCTGCGGTTCGAACCAAGAGGCCCGAACATGTATACTTTCAATCGGACCATGCGGCAAGGGTTTCCTAGGCACGGGTATCCCACCATTGCTCGTCGCGTGACTGTACCGTGTCATCTGTCGGAATGGCTATCGTCTCGGGCCTGATGGGTGGTTCGATATTGTGCCAGACGTTGTTGTAGCCATTCTTTCCAGCCGTCGGCTGACTAGACAAAAATCCCACCTTGCGCCAGCACAACATGGCCTGAGTCTCGACTTTGGATCTGGTAATTGTCGAGTGTTGCAGACTTTCACTTGTTCGCCAGGCTTTTCTCTTTCTGAAGGGAGGATGCCTATCACATAAACGGCGAGGGCCTTGGCACACCCTCCCCATGTAGATTGTCCTTCTCACGGCGAGACTGCTCCCACTCTGCCTCGTGCATCTTCGAGATAATCCGGACAGATCGATTGCCTGCGGAGTACTGGTGAAGGTGTTCCGGAGACTGGACTTGTTCGAATTAGGCATCGGACAGGTTTCACAGAACCACCTCTGATATGTACCAAGTTTGAAGTGGTGGTGCGGTTGTCCTCCAGCTTGACAAGTGTCTCTCGCCGCACTCCTCCATCTTTGAGCTGCCTTCCAGTAACCGGGGGGCTGCATGTAGAACTTCTACTTTGCAAGTGCTTCGGGAGTCTGGAGATCTCGTCTCTGACGTGTGCTGTCGCATGTTATGTAATCCTAGAGTGCGGTTCTGGCCCACACGCCTGTGTGCTTAACACATAGTACAGTAGTAGCTTCCACAGCGTACACGAGCTCCTGTTGCGTTTCATCTAGGTCCATCCACAGCGGGGTGGTATCGTGGGCCGGCCGTGCATTGCTCGTGCCCACCCAAAATCACAGGAGAGAGTAAGGCAACACTGAAGGCTCCAGGTTGCCAAGGGGCTGCGCAGTACGGAGTAGGATAGCGTGGAGCGCAATGCGCCACTTACAGTAGCCATCAACTCAGGTATCGAGCCGTTGCCACATCCTCGCGGTGTGCGCCGTCGAAGAGTACCGAGTAAGGTCGGTGTGGTGGACGTTCCCTCGCCCTTGAAGCAAATAATGTGAGAGAGCTGGAGTCCTCTGCGGGCTGGAGCGCAGAATACTTAATGTCCTGTGAGTGTGAACAAAATGTCGAACGCCGATGCCAAAGAGAACTTTGAATATGAAGTTCACAGGAAGGTTGGGAGTACAGCAATTGAGGTAATAGACAGAGGAATGGAAAGAACGATCTGAAATCAAATTCAAGTCAATCGTAAGTAAAGAAGGAGTGAACAACAACAGTTTTCGGAGGAGCAAAGAAGAGACCGTAGAGGGAATAGCTCCAGTCCTGCCGCGATCATATACTCAAAAATCACGTAAGGCGGCGTCGCACAACACATGGCATGCTAAAGCAGCATCGAGCTTGGTGGAACCCCGTCAAGACTTGTGAACGTTCCCATTCGCATCATTGGATCGACATTGTTTTTGCTTCAACGTGTCTCGAGGTATCACAAGCATCGTTTTTCTGCACAGCATGCGCCCTTCCCTAGCTCTGCAGCTTTCAAAAGTGCAGTTGACACTGTTCACACGCGCCACCTGCGGACTCTGCGATGTAGCTAAGTCGCGCGTCGTCGAATTCAATAAGAAACAATCCGAGCCGGTCAAATACTCGGAGGTCGATATCATGGAACCAGGTCATCAAAAGTGGAAGGATGCTTACGATTTCGATGTACCGGTGCTACACATCGATCGCATCCCGGAGACGGGCAAAGACTTTGAACCCAGTCTCGACGCCGCCTGCAAACTTATGCACCGCTTTACCGTGGAGGAAGTGGACAAGGCTGTTCGCCAGGTCGAAGATGGTTCGTCATAAAGTGCGCATCGGGGCGTCATCTGGGTCCCTATTTCTTTTCCTGTTGTGTCACCAGATTTGCTGCGCCGTACGCGGCCCCCTTCACGGCTTGAGCTGCCGCATGGCCATACGAGCCCTTGGCTTTTGACAGCGACTCGGACATAAACACGGGAATGGCGGTCATGTCATTCACGACGGAGATCTGAACGTCACGGTCAGCACAGTCAACGGAACCGCAGGCATGAGATTGTGGCCCACCATCTGGAATCCCTCATCGGCGTATCTCCTGGCAAATTCCCCTGAAGGACAGTATATCCCGGACTTCTTTCCAGCATCTTGAGCGGCCTTCAGAATCCTCGCAATAGCAGCCTTCAACTCGGGACTGAAATCGCCCTGTACCGGGTATCCGATGTTGTTTCCGAGATCCCAGGGTCCAATGAAGAGCACGTCAATCCCGTCGACTTTTGCGATCTCCTCCACCTGCAAGCACACGTTAACCCCAGTGCCGGGCAAATCAGATATTGTACTTACTACGTCCAGAGCCTCCTTCGTTTCGATTTGCACAATCGTCAGGAGATTCTCGTTCGCGTTCTTCATATAGTCGAAACCAGAGAGATCCCCCTTGACGTCGAAAGCGCCCATCGAAAATGGACTGCCAAACCCTCTCTTTCCATAAGGCGGGAACTTGGCTGTCTGGACCAATCTCTTCGCGTCTTCGACAGTGTATAGCAAAGGCACAATGATACCGTGTGCACCGGCGTCGAGCGCTCTCTTGACCATCCATCCTTCATTGGCAGGAATTCGAACAATCGGGCTGACGCCGACGGAGGCTACGGCGTGGACGGATTCGTGCATCTCATTGTCTGCAAAGGGAGAGGGGTCGGTCAACATCGGCTTCTGGTCAAGAGGAGGCCTGCCTCTACGAGGGAAGCACTCTGATGGCACATACCTGCGATGTTTCCGTGCTCGGTGTCTATGCATATCCAGTCGAACCCAGCTCGAGCGATCGTCCTTGACAAATGTGTGCCTGGGAGCATCTGCCATGCGCCAAACGACAGACCAGATCCCGTATTGAGCGCCTTGCGCAAAGTGTTTGCATTCTTCAACACAGTTGCCATGTTGACCGTAGGAAGGTAGGAGAAATAGGTTGGTGGAGCTGCGCTATGCAAATCGGTCGCTGGTTGACACGCACGCGAATATCTATACGCGCGACAGAGAATTAGAGCGAAGACAACAAGACAAAATGCACGGAGATGAGATCTGACCACACGTCGCTTTTCGAGGGGCGCACCTCCTGGTATATTTACGAGCTTGTATGGCTGGTCCACGGCTCGAAATCCGTACAGGCTTCGCCGTTGTCGGCTTACCGACCAAATTGTCAGTGGCGCGGGGTAAAGCCTGCCGATGACGCTGGCGCCCTCCAAGCAACAGCCTGAACAATAACTGACCGAGGATGTTTCTTGGAGTAGGTGTTCGGTGGAAGCTGGACCGAGCATGGCATTCCCCACGCACCCACGGCGCCCCTGTGGCTCCTGCTTGTATGGAGTATCTACGGAGACCTGCCGAAGCACTGCGAGACTCCAGTGAATGTGCGACCAACGCGGTTGGATTGATTCCCAAATTTACGACCATGCTACCTATATCTTGCTACTCCCTCTCGGCCGCTCCAACGTCTTGGTAGCATTGCGATAGTTCTTGACCAGCTGCCGGATGGCCAGATCAAGCATCACATCTTCGCTGCCACCAGGTATCCGGGCGCCGGGGACCTCTCTATACATCCGTTCCGCGATCTCGCCCTGTCCTGTTCGCGTGTATCCGTTACCGCCGAACAGCAGCACTGCGGTCTGAGCACATTCATTCAAGACCATCCCGGCCTTGGCCTTGGCGAGCGCTGTCAACCCACCAAGCTTGACGTCTGCTTCTGCCTTGGTGAGCTGAGTCATCTGATACACGAATTGCTCGACCCAGGCCTGCAGCGACTCCAGCTCTGCGCCTGCCTTGGCCAGCCGATGACGGACCACCGGCTGCTCGATCAACGCCTTCCCAAATGCCTCGCGTTTCATGACATACTCAAACGCCGCGGAAAGAGCGACGCGTGCTTGTCGCGTCACCCCAACAGCGATGAGCAACCGCTCGTGGTTGAAATTGGTCATGACGTAGCGCATTCCCATACCCTCCTCGCCGATGAGGTTCTCAGCGGGCACCTTCACGTCGTCGAGCTCGATGTAAGTTGTCCCTGCGCTGACTTGTCCGGCAACCTTGAGTCGGCGCATGTTCACGCCGGGGTACCCTTTCAACGGGCAGACAATCATGCTCAGACCCGCAGCTCCAGGACCACCCGTGCGGACAGCCATGGCCGCATAATCGGACCAGAAAGCATTGGTGATCCATTTCTGTTACGCGTCAGCCAAATCCTGCTATGTCCGGTGGCTGAGATTACCTTTTGCCCGTTGATGATGTAGTGCTTTCCATCTGGTGTCTTCACTGCCGTTGTTGCGATGTTGGCGACGTCACTACCAGCGCTGGGCTCCGTAATGGCAATACAGCATCGTTTCTTCCCCGGCAGAAGCTCCGGAAGGAATTTCTCGTGCAGCGCCTTGTTGCCGAATTTGATGATGGGAGGAATGCCTGCAGACCGCTGTCAATAACTATGCTGAACCGGACCACCGATGGAAACCCACCAAATGAGTGGCCGGCAGTCATGGAACCGCCTGGGCCAGTGACACCAGGTCTGGCCATTTCGTCCAGGTATATTCCAGTGTGCAAATAGTCCCATTCCTCCACGGGCGTCCCCAAGATATCGTTGATGCCCACTCTTTTCAGCCATTCCACGGGCAGAGGCGCAGGGAGGTTAGGGATCAACATGTTGTGTTTTTTAAACGTCTCAAAGAGATGGTCCGGGACGGTTTCCTCGCGCTCCCACTCCATAGCATAGGGCATTAGGTGTTCTTCGATAAAGGCTCGACATGCTTTCTGAAACCGCTTGTGCGTTTCTTTGTAGTAGGGGGAAGGAAAGCCTGCCAACCAAGGCGGCTCAGAAAAAGGGACGATATTCGACGACGACATTGCGAAAATGCGGCTTGACGTTGAGCAGCTTCGGAGGTTCGATTGATGCAGTTCCCTAGTATGTACGCGAAAGGAGAAGTATCTGAGCTAATACACAAAACTCAGCCCGGCCCAAGATATATTCTCGGTGCGACGCGTCGGGATCGAGGTAAAGCCATATTTCCTAGAGACAAGGAGCTGGAGGCTGACCGACTGTAGCCGTGGACCGACCACCGAGAGATACCTCGGAACGGCTTCAGCTAATTATCTGGAGGGCGCCGCAGTGCGCCGCCTTGGTATCTCGTACCTCGTATCAACCCCGCAGATTCCCGCAACTTCCACGTGATGCAGCACGTGAGATTCAGCCTCGTGACGACATCTTCGTCAACGCTCACACGTGCGTGGCCATTGACACTTCTCACCACCACTCTGGTCGCTTCAATTGCCCTCCTCCCGCAAGAAGCTATTTCTCCAGACTGAGGGAGTTTCGAAAGCCTGTGGGGCTCGCCTTGTCCGGTACCGTTCGAACCTCGACGTCAGTGTTGCGGGAAGCTGCTGCGTAGGTACCACTGGAGAGAAGCTTGCTACAGATATACTTCAGTGGAACGTCATCTCCGCCTTCATCAGCCACGTTGAAAAGGTCTGGATCGTCGCAATATCTCTTCGACTGGCCGAACACGGCCTACATCGTTTTGCCACGGTGCCAGAAACGGGAGGTTCTTATCCCCAAAACAACCACTTTGGTATCGTCGCGATCTGCACTTGCCCTCTGTTCCCCAGTCCACCTCGACAGATGCCATTCTACTGGCCCGTCGCCACGAACTCAATTGTGGTTTACTATGTCACTGGTTCGTCTAGTACTGCATCTGCATGTCACTACACCCAAGGATGAACCAATTGTCCCATCTTCCGAACCTTATGCTACGGCTTCAGACTGTACTTGCACGAGCTGCTCACAACAGCGAAGTCTCATTGAGGTCAATCACTCCGTCATGGCGAACATGGCTGGCATGAACAGCTTAAATATATACCTCGGACAACCATCTCCATGAGGAGAACCCAGCGCTTGCTGCAAGGACAACCATAGACGGTCGGTCAAAAGCAAGTATTCCAGCCCTTTCCTCGACCAGAACAAACAGCGACAACCATGAACGTCGACCGTCCAGCCCGGCGGATTCGCCTCCCATGGCAGAGACGCGAGTCGATACTTCCCAACGAGGACGAGACTCTAGTCTCTCGCCGCGTCCCCCTTTTCAACTTCCTCCCACTCGGTGTGAAAAACCACCTCGTCGCCATGCTGGGCGAGTTTGTCGGGACCTTCCTCTTCCTGCTCCTGGCGCTAGGAGGGACGAATGTTGTCAACACAGCGCCTGAACAGGGCCAACCCGTCGACCTGGCCGCCAACCCTGCCAAGCTGTCGTTCATCGCCCTGTGCTTTGGGTTCTCCCTAGCGGTAAATGCGTGGGTCTTCTTCCGGATTAGTGGAGGACTGTTCAATCCTGCTGTAAGTCATCGTTGTCATCTCCATCCTCGTATTGGGGGTAGTCTAGTGCGCCATGGCTGATTCAACAACGTGAAGGTATCTCTCGGAATGATGATTGTTGGCGCTGTGTCGTATCGGCGCGGCTGCCTTATCATCGTCTCCCAGATCCTCGGCGGCATCGCCTCGTCCGCCGTCGTCTCCTGCCTCCTGCCTGGACCGCTCAACGTCGGCACCTCACTCGGAGGAGGGACATCGGTGGCGCAAGGTCTTTTTATCGAGGTATGTATTCCTTCCACCCTATGACCACAGACTTCGAAACACTCTACTCACTCACGCATGTCGTTTCGCCGCAGATGTTCCTGACCGCCCAACTCGTCTTCACCATCTTCATGCTCGCTGCCGAAAAACACCGCGCCACCTTCATCGCCCCCGTCGGCATCGGCCTCTCCCTCTTCATCGCCGAACTCATGGGCGTGAATTATACTGGCGGATCCCTGAACCCAGCGCGCTCCTTTGGCCCCTGTGTGGCCACCCACTCCTTTGACTCTTATCATTGGATCTACTGGCTGGGGCCAACCCTGGGGGCGTTGATCGCTAGCGGGTTCTACATGTTCATCAAGGCGCTGGAGTACGAGACCGTGAATCCGGAGCAGGATGCTAGTGGGAATGAAGGCAGGGCGTTCGATCCGCGCTCTGGCGTTGAGCAGAGAATCGATCTCGAGAGTGGAGACGGCAAGCCTGGTGCTACACACTCTAATGATGGGGCATAAGCGTTGAAGAGCCAACGCATGGGTGCGGCGGGTTGTGTATTGCAAGGGGTCGAGAGATTAATGTGAAGACCCAGCAGGACTGTATGAGTTGACGCGGATCTCGAGACCGGCGCTGCCGGTCCCTATTTGTGCCCGGTAAAATGCGAGGTGAGCTCACTTAGCCATGTAGCGATATGCAGGAGAGTTTGAGCCATATATGATAATTCATCACGACTTGTCTTGTCACCCGGTGGAACACTTTAATGGCTTTAAGATCTCGCCGACGACGATCGGGATGGGTGCTCGTCGACAACGACGATCGCCTCCTGCAAAAGCTTGTCAGGCTCGCATAGCGAATGTCACCTATCAGGCAGACAACGCTGCAAATCGCATCGCAGCTAGAGATAACGTTGGCTCAGCAGGATTGGGCCATAGACACATAGATACTCTTATGCATACAGGGCTGTACATCTGTGCCAGGAATATACCTTGGTGATGGAGCAATGGTCTCACCTCCAGTCCGGACACTCTCGGCTTCTTGCACATATTCCAATCAAAAGCACCGTGCGCCTTACACACGAATCTTGGTATATTCGTCACGGCAACTGGTGCAGTATTCATCATACCAGTCCGTTAGCTCCTTGCCCACCGCGTCCGTAGAATTCCGGGACAGATCACCGAGCATGATTCCCTCGACGACTTGGCAGCGGCGATGCTCCGCCATCACCCACTGTTCCCACGCAGCCACCATCAATTCTTTCTCGACGCTGTTGACCACTCGCACCGCGACCAGAAGATCATGACGTTGAGACCCCAATCTCTGCCGATTTTTCTGTACCTGTGTGGCTGGGCTGTGGCTTCGTCCTGCATGGATATATTGAGGATCATGCTCGTCATAGAAGACTCTGTAGCACGCACTCGAATCGCGGGCCGGGAGATGTGCGTCACGACTGAGAACCTCATCCAAGTCACTGAGGTATACGGCTCGACTCATGACGGTGTTTGGCGAGACACCGAGTCTAGCCATGTAGTTTCCAGCTTTGCGCTCATGCCACCAATCGAGCGAATCGCGATACGTGTGCCAGCTATTGTATAGTGCAGATAGGACAAGTGCAGCCAAAAGAATTTTGTTTGCGGAGAATGTCCTCGCAAACCACCCCAAGATGCTCAAAAGCGACTGCAGCAGGGTCGCGGAAACACTCTGAGCTGTGGAGATGGTGCTTTGGGCTAACAACCCAGTCATGCTGCGTGTGATCGGCCGTCTTCTCAATCCGATGTTGACAGCTGCTGCATCGACTAGAAGTTGCGTAGTCTCTGTCGAATGGCCCACTTGACCGAATATCTGGATGGCTTTCTTCGTGCGACTATGAGCGCCCAGTTTGCTGACTTGATCCGCAACGAGGTCTACAAGGTCTTGACAATCAAGTTCGAGGTCGTGCAAGGCTTGCCATTCGACGACGCCCCCAAACAACCAAGCCGGGCGGAGCCATTCGACGTTGACAAAGACAGCAAGCTTGCACATGGCTTTGGCGGCATGGGTAATCACAACCTTGCTGACGAGGCGATGATTGTTCCGGTAGGGCAGATGCCACGGTGTTCGCTTGTCGGTAACGACGTAGCACAGATGGTCACTGTTCACGTCGATCACCTGGTAGTCTCGAACCGGGCTGTATGACTCGTGGCCAAGGAGGTTTACCGTTGGGCTGTTGAAGGTCAACTCTCTTCGAAATCGTCCTTCCCCTAGACTCAGCCAGGGTCCTTGCGATATATTCTTGGCTCGTCTTTCACGGTGTAGAAGCTGCCAAAGTAGGCTCTTATCTCCAAACATGACATGGAACAACGCCTTTGCGCTAATGTCGAACTCCTTTTCGACCGCAAGCCGAAGATTTCCAGGCGGCGTATATTTCACCGGAAGAGCAGGAAGCTTGAACTTCGACTCCCGACGTCCTAGTTGGGTCTGATGGAGCGCACGATCAATTCGTAGTGGGCCTTTCAACTCCGTTCCTATGGTTGAAGCCCTGCCTCGATGGCGGGGTCCGCCTGTGTCGACCGGCGTGTTAGGCGACACGTCCTCCCAGCTTTCGAGGCTTGGACTCCGATCAGGAGCTTCACTCTCCATCCTAATCAGAGCCTTCATGATTTCTTCCAAGTCCAAGGGTGCATCAGATACACTGTTTCTGATCAAAAAGTTCATCCGCCTCTGTAGGAGCCTCAACGGCTCCAAAAATGTCTTAATCGTGATCCTGCGTGCACTTCCATCTCCTGTACCTTCCTTGAGATGCAGAAAGATAAAATCGCAATCTCTACCAGGAGCAGCAGTTGCCTCGTCGATTGCACTGAGAGACACGCTAGATGTGAGGACCAGGCCTAGATGGTTGCTGTAGAAATAGACGTCTCGCGGCGTCACATACACTCGGCCTGGGAAATCTTGCTTCTCACTGGGATTCCAGGTCGCTCGAAAAACCATCACCAGACGATCGTCGCGTCTCAAGGACGGGAAGAGAAGACGGAATTGTGCATCCTGCGACTTAAGCTGCAGAGGATAGTAGTTCGGGAACTCAGGTACCAGGAGATCGCTGCTGATTTGCTTCGCTGTGATTCGATCCACACTGATTGTGTTCCTATGCCCTCTCTTGCTCGGGGATGGAGTGCGACTGCGCGTCCCGGTTTGAGGGATACTCAGATCAAGATGTGGTATTGGACCTTGCGAAGGAAGAGCCGAACCGGCTAAAGAAGCGAACGCCCTTGGGGGTGAAGAGGAGGGCACGAGGGTGGGACTTCGCTGCGCCAGCAGCTTCACTTCAGCTCTCTCGTTGCTCTCGGCTCGCTCAAGCCGATTGACATAAGCTGTGCATGAGGTTCCCCATGTGTTGGCGAGAATAGCAGTGGGAATCCCTGTCTTGTCGGGGGCAGGACTCAGGCCGCGCTCACCAGTCATGATCACCGCAGATCGGCTCAGATTCGTTGGCGACGGAACGGCAGCAAGAGTCGAGGGCGCTAGGCTGCTGGCGGGCATATCTCGAAGAGCTAGGGTGAAAGTACTCCGTGGCTTGGGGTCGCCTTCAGGATTCGGAAGCAGGGGGAGACTGGGTCCGACAGGCATTGAGCCGTGGCTAGCTGCTATCAAGCCCGCAATGCCACCTGGAAGATTTGGTGTGGATGGGCTGGGAGAGACTTGGGTTGATGCTGGGCCTTTCCTGTGTAAATCCAATTTGGAAAGTATGCGAGAGGCAGTGTCTCGCTGCGTAACCTCCTCTAACGCTGTGGCCCTTCTCGAGATATCCATACTGGTCTCACGTCCGTGCTCTGCGCTAGGAACAGGAAGAGTATATGACTTTTCCACGCCAGAGATATCGTCACCGCCGGCACCCGGCTGGGTTGAGCTAAGGATAGAAGCCCCAAACTCGGGAACCGGTGGCGCGCTTATTGCAAACGCAGCACCGGCCTGCAGATTTCCGCCGCCAGATGCCATCGTCTGCAAAGCATCACCCTCCCCGACAGCCTTGGATTTGGCTGTGTGGAAGGCATCTATCCAGTCAACAAGCTCCGCCTGTGTTTCTGCTTGTAGGAGAATTGTGTTTTTGTTCGTCTTTAGCTCGAAGCAGAAGCGGCGTTCTTCTGTAGGGGCAGGACGGACATTACACAGCAGAACACCAATGCGCTCGCTCTCTTCAACCCCTGCTGCTGTTGTGCTCTGTAGCAGCCAGCCGAAGACTCCATGGCGAACAAATGCCCACCGCTTCACCCAGAGAGTCCGAGTGGGTTTCCCACCGTATGTTCGCAAAAACAACCAGCCTTGCTTCTCGCCGGTCTTGGAGGCGATTTTCTTTGGGGAACGCTGGAGGGTGGTAGTGCTGGCGCTGTGACTGTGACCCGCGTGGTGAGGAACAGTAGACTGTGTGTAATCTTCCAACTCTCGCGAGGGCCGGGTCTCTAATTCGGCAGCATCTTCCAGTTGTTTCTTTGCGGCGAGCAGCTCGCTGCGGAAGACCTTCTCGCTGGACTCCATCTCTGTTAGCCAGCCCTTAATCCTCTGCATCTCGTCTGCGCTCCGCTGAAATGTAGCCACGGTGTTATCTCGCGACATTCTCATCTCCCGCCACTGGTCAAAGAAGATCTTGACGAGTAGTCTGTCTAGTGCGAAGCGAAACGGTGGGGTCAAGCTGAAAAAGTCCATAATAGCTTTGATGTAGACTTTTCGAGCCTCATGCATTTGGAAAGCTTCCTCTCTCAGCGAGGACGGTTCCTTGGATTTGCCTAGTCCGGCGTATTTGCCCTGAAGTTGCTCGAATGTCTTCTGGGCCACTTCCACCGCGCGGCGCGACTCCTTAAATGCCCGCAGATCGTTCTGCAGAAACTGTCTGATAGGGTCGACGACCATCGGAGACAACCTCTTGACCACCGCTATCATGCTCATCCAGTAGTCCTTGGCTCCATCACCGTACCTCTTCATAGCAAGCACGCTGTAGTCATGGTCCAGCATTGACTCGGAGAGCGAGGTGGGGAGGACGGAATGGCCAATAAAGCCGTTGAGGACATTCTCCAGGGTCAGAGATTCGGTCGCAAGTCGGGTGGCGGCTTTGGCATATTCATCGAGCCACTTTTCGAGAAGGTCGATCTGTTCGCCGTAGTGGACAACTGTAGCACGGGCGGTTGGAGAGTCGATGGCGGCTTCCTTCAGCCCGACCGGAATGAGGTTGATCAGTCTCCCTACCTCGTCGGGAGGTTGCAGCGCCTGTGCCATGGTTGGTGTCACGATCCGAGAGGCGGAGTAGGTAGTGGGGGGATTGAAGTCGAGTGCATGCGAGTCATCGGTCAGGCTGTCTCAAGGCCCTGCGCGCATAAGAAGTGAAGCAATGTCAGGAGAGGGAGGCAAGGCGATAAAGGCGAATCAGCACAGCAGTCAAGCCGCGGTATTCTGATAAGTCTATTGTAGACTTGACAGGTACTACCCGTACAAAAGCGCGTCTCAGGTTGGCTTTGAATCGCACTCGAGTGACCAACGACGTCAAGCTGCGCATCGGCACATCACTACACCGACCGGAGCTGGGAGCCAAGACTGGTGACAACGTCTTCCTGCACGCAACACGTACGCAATGGGGACGATTTGTGTTTGGAAAGTAATACTGTGGCATTCAAGGTGTGAGGGATTTCTAGATAAATTCATATCATGAAGGAACCGAGAGATGAGTTCCGCAGGGTACGCGCCCATGCCGTCAAGTCACATGTGCAGATGAAGCATTGCAAAGATTCACGGCTGCGTCAAGTCCACATCTACTCTTTAGAGTCGTGATAATTCTATGGGCCTGGTATCGCGTGGTTAAGTTGAGTCCTAGGAGCATATCTGAATGAGCAGTTCAACATAGTCGGTGACAACTTCGCCTGTGTTTGACACTTGCTCCTGAAGGTACCTCCATTAGGTAGGCGAGAGACGATATAATTGTGGAGCAAAGTCTACACAGTACGAGGCACAACAATCTTGCCAAGCCGTCGGTGTCTCCACTTTCCCTGCGCATGCGGAGAAACTTTTCTGAGTATTGCGAGCCCTGCCACCCGAACACAGAACCGAAATCGTAAACGCACAGAGAAACCGTCTTGTGCATACCCCAAACCCCGTGCGGCCATGGCTCGCGAGTTGATGAGTGGCGACTCGTCCGATAGCGAGGACGGAGGTGCAGAGATCCCATCCAAGCCGGTGATCAAGGTCAATGAGGAATACGCCCGCCGCTTTGAGCATAACAAAAAGAGGGAGGAACTGGCGAGATGTACGAAACCGCCAATAGACGCAATCCAATCTGAATCCATACTAACTTCCGCCACAGTAGAAGAGAAACTTGGCAAATCCTCGAACACTCGAAAGCGCAAGCGGGACGAAGCCGACGGCGCGGGTGGCGACGAATCTGGCTCTGATGAATCAACGAGCGAGACCGAAGATGAAGGGGAATTCGCTACCGAGGCGCTCGACAGCGAGATCATGGCTACTATCAACGCCATTCGTTCGAAAGACCCCCGAGTTTACGATGCGTCTGTCACCTTTTATTCTCATGGCGATAATGAGCGAGAGACGAATACTAAGACTAAGAAGGAGAAACCAATGAATTTGCAAGACTACCATCGACAGAATTTGCTTAATGGGGGCACTGTCGAGGCCGAAGAAGACGCTGCTCCCTTGTCATACAATCAAGAGCAGGAGCAGTTGAAGAAATCAATCATTGGCGAAATTCATGCAGCTGCGGCCCACTCCGATGGCGAAGATGAAGAGGATGGCTCCGGCGATAACAAGTTCTTGGTTGCGAAACATAAGGAGAAGCCATCTACGAAGCAGCAGCCTGTTTTGGACATTGAAAGCGCGGCCAAAGACCCCGAGACATTCCTGTCGAACTTCATGGCCTCCAGGGCCTGGGCAACTTCGGATGCTGCTACCCTCCACCCCTTCGAATCAGATGATGACGACGAGGAGCGTCGAGCAGAAGAGTTTGAAGAAGCATACAATCTCAGGTTCGAAGATCCCGAGAAATCAAATGAGAAGCTGCGCTCGCACGCAAGAGACTTGGCCGCGAAATATTCGGTGCGAAGAACCGAGGCGAATCCGAGACAGAAGAAGAGAGAGGCCGAAAAGGCAAACAAAGAAGCCGAAAAGCAGCTGCGAAAAGAAGAGAAAGCTCGCCTGCGTAAGTTGAAGATTGAAGAGCTCGAGGAGAAGGTGCGGAGAATCAAGCGAGCCGCTGGTATTCGAGCCAAGGATATCCGGCCTGAAGACTGGTCGCACTTCGTCGACGGTGACTGGGACGGCAAGATGTGGGAAGAAGAAATGCAGACGCGCTTTGGTGATGAATATTATGCAGAGCAAGATGCTGCCAGCGAGAGCGATGCCGAAGGGAAGAAGCAGAAGCCTCGCAAGCCCAAGTTTGAGGACGACATCGACATAAAAGATATTGTTCCCGACTTCGAAGAGGACGAAAAAGCGGAGTTCAGCTTGACAGATGAAGAAAAGCCGGCAAAGAAGCGGAGGAAGAACAAAATAGAGGACAAGGACGACAAGAAGGACGCAAGGAGAGAGCGGAGGATCATCGAACAACTGGTCGATGACCAACTCCAGATGGAACTCGATGCGTCCGTGTCAAACCACAAGAACGCAGCTGGGTTCAGATACCGAGAGACATCACCAAAGAGCTTTGGTCTGACTGCCAGAGACATCTTGTTGGCCGAGGACAAAGCCTTGAATGAGTTCGCCGGGCTGAAGAAACTGGCATCTTTTCGCGATCCAGAGAAGAAACGCAAAGATGCAAAGAACTTGGGGAAGAAAGCGAGACTAAGAAAATGGCGCCTTGACACGTTTGGTAATGAGGAAGGTCTCAATGCGAGCAATTTGATCCCTCCGCTGCTGGACGTCCAGGAGGAGCTCGACGAGGACGAGGCTGGAGTTGACATAAAAACGGAAGGAAAGAAGAAAAAGAAGAGAAGAAAGAGCAAGAAGGCGAAGGTTGAAGTCGACGCTGTGGCTGGATGAAGATATCCGAACGACTGTACACCAATTCAGGGCTTAACACTCTGCCATGCATGAGACGTGTATTCACACACAGCATGTGACACGTGTCGAAGTGTACACCGTACCTCGTAGCACATTGAATTCTGTCCCTAATCGTGAGGTGCATAAAGAGCCGCACTTCTCGAAACAAGCTCTACCTCGTACCTGCTGCAGATCTAGAGGATTTTGTGGACCGTGGAAAAAATGAACTCTGGTGCTTTGCGGTTCAATGGGCGGAGGGAGCAGCTGAGAAAATTATCTCATGCCAGACTGGACAACCCCGAGGCAGCAGCCGGGCAAGCGCGATAGGGGCAACGGTTGCTATGGGGTGGCCCAGCCGCGAGAAAGATTTGGGTGAAATGGTGTGGATGAGGTCCCAGCCAAAAATTTTGATTGCAGACGATAATTGCCCGGGGCGGACCTGAGGGCCCTTCCTGCTTGGGGGTTCGTTGGTGCTGGTCGCTCGGGAAGACCGCGCACCGCAAAGCACAATGATGTGAGATCAGGGCCTTGCCGTATCGGGTTTAGCACCAGTCGAGCTCCAATCCCTTTGAAAAATAACTGTCCGCTTCAGAACTTCAATTCTCTCTTTTTCGCATCTCTGCATCTTCCTCCATCCTTGGACCCATCATTTCCTTCCCTTCTCTCCACTCAATCGTAGTCGTCAGTCCCTTGTAACCACCGTCAAGATGGCGAAGGGGTAAGTCCGCGCTCATTCCCATCTCATTTCGCAGGTCTCTCAGCCAATGGTGGTGCGGCCACCTCCCTGAGCTGCATCCGTACCATCTGCGTCCCGATCAATGCTTGCAGGAGCCAAAGCTAACAGCTCCTTTTAGTGATGTGAACCAGGCCGAGAAGTCCTTTATGGGCATGCCCGGTAAGCCATAACCTCGACGTTGCCGGACTGCAGTCTCGGAGATCCGCTTGACGACATTTGAGGTCATGGACATCGGTGGCTAACAAGTTGGAAAGGCTTCGTGGTTGACTTTTTGATGGGTGGTGTGTCCGCTGCCGTCTCAGTAAGTATAGCATTCCTGCGGTCCGATCATGAAAATATCGAAATCTAACGCGAAAACTGCTAGAAAACTGCCGCTGCCCCCATTGAGCGTGTCAAGCTCTTGATCCAGAATCAGGTATGCCAGCCTGCGACTCCGTTGCCTGCCCTCTTGGATACGTTCACATGCGATGCGAACATTCCCTCCTTTTCCCGACGCGACTGCGTCAACATTGGTTGAAGAATTCGCTTATCAAATGCTCCTACCACGATGATGACATAACCCTCGGCCATGCGATGAGGAACATCAACTTACTCTCGAATCACAGGATGAGATGCTTAAAGCCGGTCGTCTCGACCGCAAATACAACGGTATCATCGACTGCTTCAGCCGAACCGCAAAGAGCGAAGGTGTTATGGCTCTGTGGAGAGGTAACACGGCCAACGTCATCCGATACTTCCCTACCCAGGCCTTGAACTTTGCTTTCCGCGATACCTACAAGTCGATGTTCGCTTTCAAGAAGGAGCGCGATGGATACTGGAAGTGGATGGCCGGTAACTTGGCTTCCGGTGGTGCTGCTGGTGCCACTTCCCTGCTCTTCGTCTACTCTCTCGACTACGCCCGGTATGTGCCACGCCATGTGTTAGTCGTTTTGATATGCTGCTAACTATACGCAGTACTCGTCTTGCCAACGATGCCAAATCTGCTGCCAAGGGTGGCGGTGATCGTCAATTCAACGGCCTTGTCGACGTCTACCGCAAGACTCTCGCCTCTGATGGTATCGCTGGTCTCTACCGTGGTTTCGGTCCCTCCGTTCTTGGAATCATTGTTTACCGTGGTCTTTACTTCGGCATGTACGACTCGATCAAGCCTGTTCTCCTTGTTGGTCCTCTTGAGGGCAACTTCTTGGCCTCATTCATGCTCGGCTGGGGTGTCACCACTGGTGCTGGTATCGCTTCTTACCCTCTTGATACTATCCGTCGTCGCATGATGATGACGTCTGGCGAGGTATGTACACCACTCAAATTCAAGTGAACAAGTCTAACCAGTTGCGCAGGCCGTCAAGTACAAGAGCTCTCTCGATGCCGCCCAGAAGATCATGGCCGCTGAGGGTGTCCGATCATTCTTCAAGGGTGCTGGTGCCAACATCCTGCGTGGTGTCGCTGGTGCCGGTGTGCTCTCCATCTACGACCGTACGTGACTCTATTCCATCGTCTAGTACTATGCTAACCATTTCACAGAGGTCCAACTTCTCATGTTCGGCAAGAAGTTCAAGGGCGGTTCCGGCTAAGCGCTTCTACACCTGACCGCGACGATCCTGACAAGCGATTCATGCGATCGCAGCAGTGGTGTAGCAATGCATACACGGTGTATTGTAGTGCCTTCAGTCGGGAGGTACAGAAAAAGTGTACGATGAATTGGTGGAGCAGCCGTGGCTGCAGTTGGCAGCACCCGGGGGATGAAGAGAGAGGATGAAGCACATCTTGCAAATAGAGACATCAACGACCACACAACGGAAGGGGACTTACGAGGGATCATGGGTTCGCGTTAAGCAACTTTCTCGTTGAGACAGTCGTTGGGGGTATTGTTTACAATATGCAATGGGGTTTCTGGCTTTCCAATCCTTCGCTCCTCACACTCGTCATACACTCGCAAATTGTACTTTAATGTCTCGGCCACGCCGTTCTCAGCTTCTCCGTCGTTGCTTTCAGAGAGTGCTCATTCTCACTGTGTGTTGCCTGCCGTCATGACTATATCGCATTCAGCTGCCTATGAAGATTGAATAAGAGTATCAGCTGCCTGTTTGTGTGGCCGGTGGGTGAGTACGTAAGTGAATGAGTGAGTGAGTGATCCGAGTCTCACACCAACTTGAGTTTACCCTGGCCCAGCCTGCTTTACCCTCGTTGGACTCTCCCCATTACTGCCACGCCATTTCCATTAATCAGTCTCTCGCGCAGAAGCATTCGCTGTTTGTGGCTCACTTTGGTACTCCATGAGCGCGGCGATATAGACTATAGTTGAAGTAACTTCTCATGTATACGACGGATCTACTCCGGTACGTCCCATTCACCTCGCGCCTCGCGTCTCATCTGAACCCTGAGGTGCTACTTCGATTCCAGTCCTTCGATGTGCAACGCTGACAAGGGAATAGGACAAGAAATGTGCGCCAAAGCCACGGGAGGACTTGAAGTCCTGCAGTAAGCCGATTCTGTTGCTTGCACGCTGTCTACTCTGCCTCTGGTGCGTCAGTTCCTGGTATCTGAAGACTGGTCATGATTCCGACGCTTCCGGCCTGAACGGTATCATTCCACCCATCCGTCGTTCATATCAGCCTCTCTGTGGCAGTGAACGGCAGAGCGCAAAGACATGAAAAGTCTATTGGAGTGATGGAAAAGATGCCGTGAGCACGATCCACGGAGTTATGTTGCCACATGGCCCCTCCCTACAAGCTGAAATGCAGGCAGCTATCCGAGAGCCAAACTTTCAGTTGCTCAAAGGGCCGAATGTGAACCCATGACAAGTCGCAGGGGAAACCATACCTAGGTACCATAACTTTTCGGCCACATCTTCCTGCCTGCTGCTAGCGTTCATCTTCCTGCCCATTGATGGTGTTCCAGATTTGCTTCTCGGTCATGCTGAGTCTCTTCCCTGCGGCTCTTGCCCACGACATGGCCGTCTGCACCACCGTGTTGTCACCATTGGCGCTCCCGCTGGGCGATCCTCCAAACGTCCATTCCAAATCTAATATTCCAGCTCCTCTTCTCGTTGCCGACAGGGGAGAAAGCGTGGCCTTGTAATCCGTCTCTTGGCAGGACTCGATCGGCCTGTCGTCGAAGGAGGAGTGGTGATCCTGTTGGTAGCCAGGAGGGTGCGAGAGATCGTGCACGTCCGCCGGCGCTTGTGGAAGGGAGTAGTTTGGCGATGCGTAATTGTAGCTTGGGCTTGCGGAAATCGAGGTCACCCCTGCGGCAGGGACCGAGCGTATGGGCGTACAGACTGTGCCGTAGTGGGTTTGGGGTTGGATAGGGAGAGGAGGTGAATGCTGGGTTGGTGTTTGCGCTTGTGTTGGCGCAGCGGTCACCCGTGGTAGCGAAGCGCCAGCAGATGGTTGAGGAATGTCAAGAGGACGTGGTGAAGTCGGCGCGGACGCTCGTAGGGTGGGACTGATGGAGTACAGCGACGGGATTCCGCCCGGCTGTGGTGGCGGAGGGGAATTCTGTGACAGGGAGTGCAGCGGCGCAGTCGGTGTCGGATTGCATCTGCTGTTGTGTGAGCTGGCCGCCGTGTTTGTAGGTTGAGGGATGGCTGCTCGAGAGGGTTGCGATGGAGATGCGCCAAGGGTGGGCTCTGTCGAACTGGGGCGTGGTTCAGCAGCAGAAGGTGTGTATCGAGCGCCAGCAGTGCTGGGGGATGTTCCGAACGCGTGCGCAGGGGGATTGGTGTTGATAGGCGAAGCCGTGTGGACTGGAATCGGTGCCATTGCGTGCTGCTTTCTCGGTGCTCCTAGACTTGCTGGATCAAGGGAGATATTTGATTCAACGGGAAAGAGAGATAGGAACAGATACTAGGGATGGAAGGACAACGAAAGCAGTATACTCCTGTCTCGCGCTCCCAGAAGGGTGATGATGTAGGTGGAAGGCCGTGCGTTTGCCCTCCGAACGGGACTCCAGAATGCGGCTGCAAGGACGACTGGCGTCATTGACCCTTGGAAAGATGCGCAGACTCACCACTTCCTCGTAATCGACGACCGACCACAACAAGGGCAGAGCGCGACGTCGGGGTTGATAGATGGAACGAGCGGTCTTTAATCCGGCGACGTCGAACAAAGCGTCTTTGTTGGAGCCTGACACCTCAGCTTGAGCAGACTTGGTGCTTCTCTGACACAGGCAGGGAACTACTGTGAGACGTGTCTTTCTGTTTCCATCTGCCGCTTCCGGCAAAAGTACACAGCCAAGCTTGCGAGTCAGATTCTTCGTATATCGAAGTGGCAGGGCTGAGACGAGGTTACACAAAGAATGTGGCCGTCACCGCTTACGGACAGCGAGTCTGCGTTGGTGCTGCTGACTAGACGAAGTTGACGCAGGCCAAGGCGGGCGGCTCGATGTTGCGCCTCGACGACGCTCATTGGCCTCTGCCGCACTGCATGGATGCTAGCCAGAAAAGTCAATATCGCTGCCAAACCATGACATTCATGTCAGTGCCGGCAGCATGCATGAACCAACCTGGACTGCCCGTGTCGCCTGTGGGTGTTGTATTCCTGTCTACTGTGCCTCAGCCTTGTCCAAATCAACGTGACGCGCCGTGCCGGGACGAGTTCTGTTTGGGTTGGTCTCTCCTCGTCCAACCATCTGACGGTTTCACGACCTTCTCCGCCGGGACCGCGTGCTTGATCCGCATCGTTTGATTCGCCCATCTGTTTTCTCTATACCAGCCTGTGTGCTATTCCCACTGGCCTCTCATCACCCCCCAGACACTTGTCGTTCAGACGGGCCTAAGCCGGCTTTATCCAAGGCGGGCGCGCCTAGACCCTGGCACCGAAAAATTCGACATGGGATCAATGTTGCATTAACTGCATCGATTTCTCAAAAAGAAAGCTTCCGACGACGTATGAAGCTGGTCTTGGGGGCACATTATTTCCCACAAGGCTACTCCTTTGCCCAATGTACGACAGACCGCTCCTTGCACCTTCTGGATTTGGCCCTGTCGGTTCCTGGACCATCTCCCGATCGAACCATCGCTCACCGCGGGGTAGGATATAGCCTGGTCGAGCCGACTCTTTCCCGTGGTCACCGGCGTCTGAGCCAGTGCCTATGGTCTAGTTGCACGCAAAATGTACGGCTCTCTTCTCTTCTTATTATGTCCGAATTTAATGAAACCAGGAAGTTCGGCAAGCAAATCCAACGCCAGCAGTTGGATCTACCCGAATATGCCGCCAGTTTTCTCAATTACAAGGCCTTGAAGAAGGTGGGGCCAGGCCATGCAACTCCCTCGAGATTTTCTGCTCATTTCGCTTGCAGCTCATCAAGCAACTCAGTGCCACTCCTACCATTCCCGCACAGAGCGGTTCCACAGCAACCGACACACAGGCCGCCCTTAGAGCGAACAAAGAGGTTTTCTTCTTTCGACTGGTAGGGATATAGAGCTGATCACTGTCTACGCACGTTTTCTGACCCCAATCTCCAGGAGCGCGAGATAGAGAAGGTCAATGGCTTTTATCTGCAAAAAGAGGAGGAGGTACTTCAACCTGAGCCGATTTTACCACCTCGAGGCTGACTACTTTCAGTTTTCACTCCGCCTCAAAACACTACAAGACAAGAAGAGAGTCATACAAGCAAGACTGGCCGCCAGTTCGAGGCTTTCTGCAAGTTTCGCAACGTTGGTCGAGGGATTTCAACAGTTCGACAATGATCTCAATAAACTTCAAGTGCGACACAGGCTCAGTTCTAGTGGTACTTAGAGGCTGACGCAGCGCAGCAATTTGTGGGCGTGAATGAGACGGCAATATCGAAAATCCTGAAGAAGGTTCGCTCCATCTGCCACTTTTGGGGAAGTTGACGCTGTAGCTAACCTATGCTAGTGGGATAAAACGTCAAAGGTGAATGGAGGATGCGCTTGTCTGCTTACTGGACTCTTACTGATTGTGTGACTAGTCAAGGACGAAAGAAATCTACCTGCAGCGAGCCGTCGAAATCCAGCCATGCTTCAACCGAGATGTGCTTCGAGAGCTCGCCGATAAAGCCACCACCGCCCGACTCGACCTAGAAGCATGGGCCGAAGGCGAAAACATACAGTACGAGGTGCCGAGACCTCAGGATCGCACAATCGGTCAGCGTGTGGGTACAGAAGAAAGTGACATTGACCTACAGATTTTGCAGGCATCTGCCGCAGGCAATGTTGCAGCATTGCGCGAGTGGTTTTTGAGGTTAGGCACTTCACCGGACGCGCGCGATCGTTTCACCCGAATATTTCTGGCATCAATCTCTGAGGCGCCCGACGAATCCTTAAATGTCTTCTTCCATTCGGGACTGATTGACATCCATGCAGAAGACGACATCAACGAGCGCAACTGCTTGCACGAGGCGACGATATATGGCAAAGAAAGTGTATTGAACTATGCTCTCGAAAATGGTGTGGATCTCACGCGCGTTGATGCCTACGGGAGGGTGCCCCTACATTACGCATGTCTAAGAGGAAGGATTGGTATGGTGGCGACGTTGTTGGCTGCCGGACCGAGCACAATTGACCTGAAAGATCACGATAACTTTACCCCTCTAATACACAGTATCGTCCGTCATCGCATCGACTGCGTCCGTCTTCTGCTCGCCAACAATGCCAGGATCGATCCCCAGTCCGACAACGACCACATACCCCTAAACCTGGCATGTCAGCATGAGTCGATCGAAGTCGCAGGTCTGCTTTTGGAGAGAAATGCAAGACTACTGGCCGATGCAGAAGGCCTCTTCCCTCAACATCTTGTCGCCCGCTCAAGTCAGAAGCCCGACCTCTTGTTACTGCTTAGACAGCACGGAGCCGACCTCAATCAACGGGACAAGCTGTATCAGTGGACACCACTGTTCCACGCAGCAAGCGAAGGCAGAGTCGAGTGCTTGCGAGCACTGCTTGAGAATGGTGCAGACCCAGAAGCTCTTGACGAGAAGGGTCTCACGGCCATGTATTACGCGACCTGGGAAGGCCACTTGGAATGTATGGATCTTCTGTGGGCGCGGACCAGCCAGCATCGTGCTGAATGGAGATCTTCCACCAGACTGGGAGTCGTTGCTCCTCCCCACAGTCAGATGCTTGCGATGGAGATCACTCCGGAAGAGCCCGCTGCGATGGACGCAGATGGCATCCCGGACCTCTCGCTCCCACCGCCAATCATGCCGCTACGTCGATATGGACACAGCTTCCTCGACACCAAAACATTCATCGCAATCAACTTCGACCGTGCAGCAAAGGCGATACAGTTCTTTAATGAGGCGAGGTATCCTGCCGCACGCCTGACAATCTCTTCGAAGACCTCCGACCTCATCCCTCGCAATCTGATGCTTCCAATACAAGAAGACTCAAGGTCTGTCTATTATCAGATAGAAAACCTCAGCACTTTCTCCTTGGATTTCGAGATTTTCCCGACCTTCGGATCAAAAGTCATCGCCAAGTCAGTTGCGCTCCCTGACGTCTTCCAAGCAATTGACAGCAGCGCTGGGAGTTGCTGTCTACCCTTATTCGACCCGAGACTACGGGCCGTAGGGCAGCTCCAATTCAATTTCCAGGTCATCAAGCCTTACCCTGGAAAAACGCTTGAAATCACACAATTCCCGTTCTATTGGAGGCAAACCAGTGCCTTGGATGACCAGGGCGGATCGATGACGGGCTCAAGTCTCTCGGGCGACTACCTGAAGATCACCGTGCAACTCACCCGTGACAGAGTGCCGGTCATATACCCGTCCTATTTCGTGCCGCATCACAATCTCGAGGTCTCCCTGTGTCAGCTCACATATGACACCCTTGCGAACCTTGGCATGAATGGTAACCTTCTCCTTAACGATGGAGCGCCGGCTCTGGAAAGCGTCAACATCATCGACTGGAAAGAGCGCCTTTCCACGTCAATCTTTACCCTTCGCAACGTTTTGGCTGCTGTGCCGGTCCAGCTCAATCTCAATCTCCACATCCTGTATCCCTCCAACCATGAGGATCTCAACCTCGGAGTCTACTCAAACATCGACATCAACACCTTCGCTGACGCGATCTTGACCGAAGTGTTTGATCATGCGCGGGCCTTGCGAACACTCTCTCCCGACCTGACGCGATCCGTCGTCTTTTCCTCCTTCAATCCCAACATTTGCACCGCGCTGAACTGGAAACAGCCAAACTACCCTATCCTGCTATGCAACGATCTAGGCCGCCTGCAGAGCGCCCTGCAGTCATCGAGTAATGCCCTCGAAGCAGGGCTCGCACGGGGCACGTCCATCAAGGAAACTGCTCGCCTCTCCCAGATGAACAATTTCATGGGGCTGACTTGCTCGGCGCGGATCTTGCAGATGGTCCCTGCTCTGACCGAAACGATCAAGCAAGCCGGATTGGTCCTTGTCTCCGATGCCTCTGCGGAGGACACCACCGCGCATGGCCTGGAAGCTGACGGTGCAGTTTTCGCGATGAAACCGGACGGCGTCAGCGGTGTTATGAAGGCGAATGGTATTCTACGCTTCAATGAGACTGTCGACATGTAGTGCGCGTCGACCTTTGTTTGCTGATGCCCGGAGATCCTTGAGCGGCAGGATGGAGCTCAGTGCTCGCTCAACCTGTCAGGGAAATAATGAGCTCCTTCCATGGAGGATATGTGAGAGACGGCGCTATGGGGCATATGCGTCGGTGATTTTGAGACCAAGTCATTTGGCCTTGACTGGAATACCTTCGGGTAGGGGCGGTATCTTCTTGCATAGCTAGCAGGTGCGCAGGCTGAGGTGGGTCAAGAGCGCAGTGTGAAGACAGCGACATATGGACAAACAGATTTGGAGATACAGTACGAATGAATAGGCGTCCAATCGGACCATCGGCTACAAGAGAAGCACCAATTGAAAAAGGACTTTTCCAAGCCTCGCGCTTGCCTGTTGGATTCCGACACGACCAAGCTTTGTCTACCACACATGTGTGCATTAGTAAATGTATCTGTTGGATGGGATGTTCATAAACGAAGTCCCTGCCCAAAAGCCTTTAGGGGGGTTACAAGACCGAGGCATGGGCAATGAGACAGCATCTCGCGTGAGGGAGTGCATTTGTTAGGCGGGGCTTCACATGATATGCCTCGTATGTAGCTAGGAGCTCAATGCCACATGCGTGGAAGTGATATCAACACATTCCGATACTGATATCAATGTATCTCGGTATGAGCTGAGGCGAGAGTAGATTTCCAAGGCTCGTCTCCCACTCTACGGAGTACTGTTTCCGTGTTTTTCCGTCAACAGTACATACACACTTTTGTGTGCCGTTGCCATGCCCTGCCTTTGTGCATTTTCCCCATCTGTCTCGCTCCCCTCCCCCTGCTCTCACCCAGTGCCTACTGTCTCGTCTCCCACCTAGTGCCTCCTGCCTTCTTTCACTCACGACTGGACCAATCCCGCCCCAATCCCCAACCACGCCCCCGCGGCCACGGCGAAAAAGCTCCCCCAGCCCGTTCCCCTCTGGCGGAAAGCCTGATACACATCCACTGCGCACAAGACCGCGCCGCTGAGGACGACCGTCCCGGTCTCACGCAGCTTGAAATCATACGCCAACTTCCCCACCGCCAAGCCGATGGCTAAATCACGGGCCCCGAGGAGGACCATGGACGTCTCGACGGCCTGGGCGTGGTTTGCGATGTCCGCGTTCGCGTGCGCCGCGGGCTTGGTCGTCGAGCGCGTCGGGTTGGCGTTACTCCCTGGGGCGGGAGTCGTCGGGTAGAGCCCGAATGTCTGGGCGGCGAGGGCGGGGGTCGTTAGCGCGAAGGCGCCCAGACCGATGTAGCTGGCCCCGACGCCTAGGCCGAGGAGGCGCCACGTTGAGGGAGAGACGTCCATGTGTGCAAGTAAGTAGGATGGATGGCTGTAGCCGGTGGTGATGTATGTGTCTTCAGGGATGTCGAGATGGGATGGAATCGAGATGGTTTGTCGGCGCTACGCTGTAGAGCTGCTCTTTAACTGGCAGGCGAGTGATGCTACGTGGTATGCTGAGTAGTTGGAACAGGAGTTATTTGGACGTCCTTGCCTCCTGGAATACAGAGGTGAAAGACACGATGGACTTCAGATCACTGGATGTTGGAGCGTAAGATTGCTTGAAGCTACAGTAGAAGCTCCTGGGAGTCTCGGATGTGACGTGACGTCAATGAGTTGTGGAGGGAATACGGAGTACGAAGCCTAATTAAGGGGGTCACTCGGAAAGAGATTCCGGTGCAATTCTCCCCCGATTCTCCTCTTAGTGACCATCACCATTTGCCCATCCAAGTACTCGTACGCAGTCGTCCGTACTCGATCGAGCTTACTTTAGAGTCTCCCCGTCCCCGGGCGTCCTCCGGCGATGCGTAGACAGTTTCCGCCCTGGAATCAACCTCTCAACTCTGTGTTTTGCCCGAGACGCTCGCGGCCATGACCGCAGCCATGAAGCAACTTCCGCAAAGTGCTTGTGGGCTCTACCGGCCTGCTGGTGGCCTACCATCTTGTGGCGCTCCGCATGGGACAAATTTCGCTTGCTCTACGGCAACACTCAATTGTCGATATTGACGGTCCTACCGCAAGCCTATAGAGATGGATATACGGGTAAGCAAAGTAGATGGAGCTGTGACGACGTGATTCCACTGTTTCGACGTGTACGGAGACATGTTCCATTGGCGGCACCTGGGCGATCTGCAGTAGAGGTCTTGCCGAGACCACTGTAGACGACAGTCTTAGGCAAGCCCTCTCCGGCTCTCCCTACTATACACCACGGTACCTGCTTTAGTGCGCTGCGCATGAGCGACCGTCTTCATCCCTTTCAGTGAGATTGAAGTATGATTCCGCACTCCAGTATCTCCGATCGTATCCTCCGCCGTAATAGTCTCGGTTGGGCCAGGGGTTCCACAATCGAGGACTCACCCTGCGTCTTGGCTGGTTCGAGTGGGGGGTCAGGTTCGTGCGAAGCTACCGTGGATTTCCCTTGTGATTCAGTCGGTTCTGTCAGATCTCCTGCCATATTGATATCCATCGGGTCAGGTGTCTTCTCAGCCGTGCAGAAATGGCTGGAAACAAGTTCCCGAAGGCCCAGACCCCGAGCTGGTTGATATCGACCTGATCAAGCAACAGCCTTTCCTCTCTCGAACCCAGACCTTCATGTCGTTCAAGTGGTATACGCCCTTCCTGGTGTTCGATTCAATGGTACACAACGTTATCCGACTGACCATTTCCTGGGTCGGACTGGGCGATGTCCAGCGTATTCCTCTCAATCCTACAACACCATACTAAGTACTTCTGCCAGGGTGTTTCTCAGCACGTGTCCTGACATGTCGGCACTTTCCTTAACCCGTTAGCATCGTGTACACTTCTTGGAACATTGTTGGACAACATACAACAGCATGTGGAGGCACAAGGGACGCGGCGCAAATGTATTGCAGGTCCAATGAATTCATTGCTAATACGACAGTCTGCATATCGCCAACCCTCCCTCTCACTTGTCATCATGAAAGGGAAGGAGCACGACACTGTGCAGGTTATCAAACCTCCCTATGTCGTCATCCTGAGAGGGAAGCACCCAAGGGCTTGTGGCGTTACTGTCATCGTGAGTGGCTTGTAGTTTGTACCGAGCCCAAAGGCGCCGAATGCCGGCCATTTGTTCTTCTTTCTTGAAGCAGAGGATCCAGTCCGTGGCCAGGATCCATTGACCCATTGGGGTATTATGGCTGGCATTGGTCTGACCAGGAATCTGCTGTCGAAGAAGATTCTGCTGGCAAGGAATGGCCTGGACAGGTTCGACGGATGGCAATGGACGCTCCGAATCGAGCGCCGGACGAATCGACCAGGTCAATTTGAGACCAGAACCCTCACCGCGAACTCGCCTCATGATCTTTATTCTCACGATCTTTATTAAGTTTACCATCGCACGGCCTATAAACTCATCTTTCTGGGCTTCGGGAGCCCCAGGCGGCAGGTCAAAATCACGCGGGACTTCGATATAGACCACTCTTAAATTATCTTCTCTCAGCGTACTCACATGGCCCGGTCAATCGCTAGTTGCCGAACCGGGGTGCGATCAAAGACCACCGCCCACTCGTCCAGTCGAGCAACGCTCCCATGCGCCTGGAAGATTGTAAAACTCTCCTCCGGGAACTTGAGGGCCACAGTTTCCCGTAGCGCCTCCTTGTCCACTCCTCCAGTGTTTACGCTTTGCCGCGCTGCGAGCGCGTCCGCCGCTTAGAGGGAGGCGGTTGATTGCCGAGAGGACCACCGCGGTGTTTCTGACCACGTGGTGCCGCTTTCTTTCTTAAAGACCCGACACTTCTTCCGCTCGTGCACCTTGAGAGTAATGAAATGTTGCATGTTGGCTCCATCCACCTCCCCGTACGGCAGCATAAGGCCACCGGACGGGGTGAGGTCGACATCTCCATCAAATTGCACCACCGCTCCAGTGCCGCCTTGATTGATCCCCGAAATCTCTGGTACAACGAGGTTGCCGGTATAGCTCCCCCGGTATTTGTTCCAGGCTGTCACAAACAGTCGTGCTTCATACCCGTCAGATCCGCAACAAGTGGTAGCCAGCAAGAAATTTCCACCCTCCAACTTGCGGTTGAAGAGGGATACCTCCTACCCGGGCTTGTGTGTAGATGCCGGATCCTTGGTCAAATTTGCCTCAGCTGTCCCCTCGGCCGAAGCTGAGGTTTTTTCTGGGGGCTTGGTGCCTTCGGTGTCTCTCGACTTCCTCTTTTGGCTGATGCCGGCGGATTTCGGGCCTAACTTGGTTTCGGCCTTCTTCCGTTCCTTCACAGCTTAGTCGCTTTTCGCTCCTCAGGGGTCAACCCAGCGCGCTTTTTGCGATTCTTCCTCGCAGCACGGGTCTGGGACAATGTCTGTTGGTTACCCGCTGTGTAAGCGAAAGATTGACCCTCACAGTTTTTGATTTTCTTGCTAGAACGTGTGATATGGCCTTTGTCCATGGCCTCCTTGGACAGAATGGGCGAACTGATGGGCGCTGGACGCTTTTGATTAGGCGGCTCAGGCTCCGGACAGAGGCCTCGCCGTGAAGTTCGACAGGACTCTCCTTGCCCCAAGCGAGGAAAATGACCGGTCATCTGTGGCAGGGTCCAACTGTCGAGGAACATCGTGAGACGCAGTAAAGTTTCCGGGTCAATCAAGGGCAGTTTTGGGTTCTAACGTCCGCATGGATGAGCACCAGCACCACACCTATAGCACGAGCATTGGCAGGACTGAGGTCGACGACCTTGCATCGGCTGTGACATGCCATGTGCAGGCTTCGGCCATGAGCCTGTATTCATGTCTTGCTCTTGTGATTGTTACTGGAGGTGGAACCGGTTGCTTTTTCACAAAGCGGACAACAGAATCCCATACCCGGGAATGCATGAAGAAGCTTGCCTCTTCTCGGCTCAGGAACTGTCGAATCCTGTCTGTCCGACAGTCACCGTTTGTTCTGGATTCGGTTTGTGTTCCATCCCACAGGACATTGAGCATTTTCTGCTATCCCTGGGTATCGGCACGAAACGCCACGCAACCCTTGCACTTCTCCCTCTTGATGAAGTGATGTCAATAGTTGGATGAGGCCGGCCGAGCCCTGGTACAGCATTCTCGACTGTCATGTTTTGGACGTATAGGCCGGAAGTTGAGAGAAGCAGAGAGAGCCCTGACAAGTCGTCTGAGGAGTGAATAAGGATAGATCAAGAGGTAGGGTGAATCGTCCAGGCGACTGTCAGGCGAACGACGTCACCCTCGAGAGCGAGAACAGCAGGGGATGGAGTTTGACGAGAGTGTGACGCCGACACGAAGGCTAAGCCTGTGGTGTTGGTATATATATAACCGACCGTCCTGAATTGGGGGGTATGCTGCGGCCAGAGCGGCTCCGGTGGGCAACTTGCACATCTCGAAATGCATCCACGCAAAAGCGCGGTCGATTGCGTCGTATTCTGTCATCCCGATTGTATGGGACGTCACTTTAGTGGCACATATAGTGTTGAACAAGGGACGTTCTTGCATCATTCATTTGACCTAGTCGGTGCAAATGCCCATCAGACCTTGTAAGAGGAAGTCTCATGACTCGAGCAAAAGGAGAAAACGTGGTGAAAGCGTGACTGAACCACCGAACTAATCAGGCCGCCTTATGCTCCGTCGCCGTTCGACTCTTACGAGTCGCAGGCGAACCTGCTGCGAGCCGCGCACCGAAAGAAAGACCAAGCCGCCACATGCGCGAACCGCATGCGATTCAAGGCCGATGCCCCCCTAGTCGCCTAACCAACCACCCAGGACCAGGATCTACAAATCGGATGCATCGGAGTCTGAACCCTCATCGGGTCAGACACGCGCAACTCCCGTCTCGTATCCACGAGAGCACGAATTGCATCAAGAATCTGCCCAAGGACAGGAGCGAGAGAAGCAGAAGGGGAACCACCAGGAGCACCGCGAGCGGCACGCACGCAAGCACAAATAAGGTACTGCCTAAGCAGATATGGATCACCATTCAGACGGCATCCAGCCCCAGGGGTTGCTGGACCCAGGACAAATTGGCAGGCATCGAAGAGCATCTTCATGACGCCTTGCATGAGCGCAGACTGCGGTACCACAGTATGCGAAGGGTGAGGTGTAGCGATCCGAATGTCTGTGGTGATGGCACTGTTCGGTAGTCTCCTAGCGGCTATGCGTAGAACTGTGACATGGACGCCCAAATCTTGTCGTACACAGCCTGCTCGTAAGCACTCATCTCCAACTCGACGCCAGCGATGCGGTAGTGTGGCACATTGATACCTGGTTGATAGTAATATCTGAACCGAGTGCCACCCGAAGTGCCAAGGACGTCCTCGTTAGACGCCGAACTCGGGCAGATCATAAATATAGGTCGGGTATTGACTTCCTCGCCCGCCTAGATTCTAGCTTTAATCTCCATGGCCCGAAAATATATCGCGGCTAGGGCTTTGATCGTTTTGCTTATACCGCAATCTGAGGCGTCTAACCCACCACCCTACTCGTCGTATTCAGTTCGACCTGCCCTCTAGCCAACCAATAGGCGGTCGTGTCGAGCCGCTTACCACGCGACATAAATGCAGCCCTGTGAACTGCATCCTTTCGAAACATGCACCGGTGTGACAGTAGGGCGCTCTGGGAAGAGTATGTAAGGGGCAATGTAGGAATGATAAGTCACCTCCCCAGGCTCCTTCTTGCAACTGCCGTAGCAATGGTCCTAAGAACCAGCTGAGCTTTGGTGGTGGGGCCCTGGGCTGGAGACAGCCAAGGAAAAAGTGGCTGGTAATACTGGTTCTGACTGAAATGCCTGCCTCTTCCCATGCGAACATGTCACTTCAAGATACGATTGTGCGTACCACGTTGAAACACTAGACCGCGTTGGTCGGTGATTCGGGTCCTGAATGACAAGCAAAAGTGTTCACAGAAGGGCTGTTGAGATTCGTAGATCCATGAGTCAAAGCCCGGCTTGATCATTTGGGACTGTCCTGTCAGCACACTGCATAACGCATCAAGTTTGCTGCGCGAGTGAGTCGCTGTATATATGTATTGATTGCAGCGGCAGAATGAATCTGCCGGATTGAGATCTTCTTCGTTCATGAAAAAGTCGGTAGCGGGAGAGTTCTTGGTGTAAAAGTCGTAATTGGCATGAGTCGGCCACGTAGAAAACTTATTTCCACAAATGGCACTAGAAGGCACGCGAAAGTCCATCCCGTCGGTGAAGTCGAGATCCAAATATACAGCCTTGTCAGGCTGTTCCGATGTCCAGTGGACAATGGTGCGTACATGGCGTGATTAATGGGGCGGACTCTTCTACAGCTCAAAGATAGGCTGGGTTTTGGTGTGATGGTACCAACAACTCATGGCGAAAGCCCTTGTGGGCTCCCACACACAGTTTCCGCAGCCACCATCACAATAGCAGGATATAAATGGTGCGAACCGCTGTGGACGTGGCTCCTCGGTCGATCCCGGGACGAAACAACAAGATGAGCTGCTCGAATCTTTCCCGCAGATCTCAAGGCGGGCAGGCCCCGTCCTCTCTGCCCCTCTGCCGTGATGGGGGATGTAGCCACGTGATTCGATCGACTCGCCAAGTATCCAGCTCTGGCTCATTAATGTGGTTCACAATCGTGATGTCGATCCGGTGCAGAGGTGCGAAGAGCTTGGCTAGAGCCTGGCCCCGGAACCGTGTCTCCTGCGATGACGCGTACTCTGCTGCGCCATAAGCACCCACCAGGCGACGTCGGCAAGTCATCCTGTTGCAGGAGGCACCGTGTACAGGCAATGAGGTAGATGCCGCAGTCATGGCCGTTCGGTTGCTGGGGGCACGAGAGCTCCTCCAACACCCAGTCGACAGATGACGGCGGTGAATCCTGGTTTGATGCCCAGTTGCCCCATGTCTTAGGCCCTTCGGCTAACGAATATGCATTGCGCTCAGCGCGGAGTTCGAGTCCCAGCTGTTCTGTGCAAAGCTCAAGTCGTCAATGACTCCGTCACCGATAGAATTGTGCGTGCAGATTCCACGGTAAGTGCGAAGATTCCTTGGCCAAGGACAACAAGTTGCTATTTTGTAGCCTTTGTCGAGGCGGCGGAGACAGCGCTGGCACGGCAGCGAAGCGGCTGCGACACGCTCCGGCGGAGGAGGGGGATCGAGACCTCATAGCCTAGAATGCCTACATCCGGACCCCGGAATGTCCACCTATGGCGGAAATGTGAGGTAGTTGGTGTCGTCCCAGTACCAACCATCGAGGTGTATGGAACTGTAAATCTGCCACCCAAGAACCTTCACTGAGCAGAGGTTGAAATTCCTGGGCAATTCGAGAAAGAGGGCTCGAGCCGTAGTTACGCAGGTCGATATAGGCTCGTTGATATGGGGAACTCTGAGTTCCTGACGCCGAGCATGGATGAGGTGGAACACCTCGCTCACCGGCAACCTCCACTCATCTGTATGATGCGACGTTCTAGTGTTTTGACGCCATCGATCGGTGACAGATGGCTGGAAACAAACCCGGAGCGAGCATCATGTATCGCAAGTAGAGGAGTGCTGCCGTAACAAGCCGTCAGTAGTCGAATCCCTGCCCGATGACGTCCTGCCAACGCAGTAAGGCATCGGGTAGTGCTAGTCGTGTCTGCTCGATTTCTATGCCTCGCGTAGATGTAGACGCTTTTTCATGAGCCGCATCAGCGGCATTCTTCTTCTGTTCCTTAACCGCCCGGGTATGAGACAGCAGCATGCGACACAGCTACGATCAGATGAGAACACACCGCGTCCCACTCGGCAAACGTGCCCTTGCCCTCGTGGCAGCGGTGGCAACGATTGCGACCCGCAGGGCACTCGTGGTGAACTCAGTTTCCACCCGAACCACGTCGACCGAATGCTTTGCTGGTAAGGCAGCTACTTGCCGCGCTTGGCTCGCTCGTGAGACGGGGTGACTAGGTTAGGGGCGTCCTTCGGCTGGTCGGCAAGGCATCGGATGTGAGCAACATGAGCGATGGAAGCGGAACCTGAAAATGGAGGTGCCAAAGGGCAGGTCGCACACTTTGGTGATTGAGTGCAACGGCGAACAGATCAGGAAGGACTTGTGTGCATCAAGGCAAACTGGAGTGGGTGTAGAATATATATAGAGAGCCAAGTCGGCAAGTAGCAACATGTCAGATGCGGGATGAGGAAGGAACCTGAGAAGACAGATGAGCTGAGGGCAAGGGAGATATTAGTAGTTCCGAGAAGCGCTTCCGTACAGTCATATCAAATGCGAATTAACTGGCGGAATGCCATCGATGAGTCAGGCCCGAACCCTTCTGTCACGAGTATGGCCTACCTGCCACGCCACGATGAAGAATTTCCCGGAAGGAGCCAAGTTCTTCACATGGGTAATGGAATCGGTGAATGACGGCACTCGATGATAGAGCAGATACGTTACCTTATGGTTCATTTTGTCAGTCCACGAGATACATCGAGGAGTCATCCCCTTCAGTTTTCCTCTCTGACATTCCCGCCTTCTGTGCTTCAGCTTTCATGAACGACAGTGACGATGTACGTCTTCCCATCCTGTCCTGTGGCAGTCACCACAAGTTGCTGTCCTTCAAAGTCCTCTTCCCGGTGCCCGATCCCCACTTCTTCTTTGTAGTCACTGTACCAGTCCTGCTTGCGCTCACCACTTACCAACTCATATCTGGCAGCAGTGACAGCCGATTGCCGGGACAGGTGAATTCCTCGTATTTCGGAATGCGTCGCTCCATCCGCTGACTGGACTGTGCAAAGGACATAGAACAAATTGTCCGTGACCCTTCCATCGCCTGGTTTCGAGCGAACGCCCAAGGAGTTGGGAGTGGTCTCGATTTCGACACCATGAATCTCATCGCCTTTTGAGGCGTGAACGACAACGTTTTCTCCGTGTTTCCAGTCTGATGATGGGTTTGTCAGGTCGTTATCCGCGTACTCGGTTAGTGAAGTTCGAGAAATTCCTTCGTCATCGAGCCGGTGAAGTGCGGCATTTTGAGCTGAGCCGAGATCGGTGTATGTGCCACAGATTTCAGTAAGAATCGAAGGTGGAGACCCAGCCTTCACGGTAGTCCGCTTAATGTGAAAGAGATCGGGGACAAGGGACGGACGTCGCTGCATGATGGTTCTGTCTCGTCTGTGATTCGGAACTCTCGAAGTGATGCTTTCACAGTTGTCCTGGAGGGCAGCTTTGCAAGAGGTGAAGGCCAAAGCATAGCCAAGCGCGGTCGCCCCTCTGAAGAGTTATTGCGATGCTTCCACCCTTCCGAGCCCAAGAAGTGAGGGGCCGGAAATCACATGGACTCACCAAGGCTCAATCAAAGCCTTGGATGAGCAAACAAAGGCTCAACCCCGCAACTTGTTCCTGGGGTGCATCGTTCGATGTAGGGCCCGAATACGAGGTCGGAAGAGAGATGTCCGACCACATCGTCCAAGCTGCAGAAGTCTAAACAGGCGGACCAACCATAAAGTCTCTTCAAAACTGGTGCTGGGGCAGATCATTTGTTGACAACGACGATAGCAGGGCGAAGAAAGTGAACACGAAGTCGTGGAAAGGTTGAGCCGTTGTGGGTCCACGGGGACGCTGTGATTGGTTGACGCAACGGCCAATAATGTTGGAGTACTGACTTTGACTTGCTGCTGGATTCGAGCTTCAGATTCCCAGATATCGACAATCGGAAGAACGACGCGGTGTAATCTGGCTGTCCATCACGCCCCTACGCCTCCGCCAGCATGCCACCGAAAGCCTGTAGGCTGGTCGCCATTCCCTTGCCTCCTCCGTTCCTCCTCCCTCGGTCGCTGATCCGAAAACCAATCAACACGGCTCAGAAAAGGTGCATGGGCATCCGATCAATAGACAGAAAGCCAAAGCCAAATCCGTACAACGTCGTCCCAGGTATTGAGCCTCTACATGCTACCGCAGCTGCGGCCTTTCAGCGGAAACTCATAGCGGACGCGCTCCCCTTACGAACAGGAGCACTTGCGATCAAGAAGGGCATGACCGCGGTCTACGATGTCGAATCCGGAACGAGGATAGCCTGCACAGTACTACAGCTGGATCGGAATCAAGTCGTCAGTCACAAAACACGAAAGAGGCACGGCTACTTTGCCGTCTGTGTCGGCAGCGGCACGATAAACCCGAAGAATGTCACAAAACCCATGCTGGGGCATTACTCCGTTCAAGGAGTAAGTCCGAAGAGACATCAACAGGAATTTCGTGTTCGTGGAGCAGAGGGTCTACTGCCTGTGGGCGAAGAGATCCGGGCAGACTGGTTCGCTGTTGGCCAGTACGTGGACACGCGGTCGCATTGCAAAGGCAAAGGCTTTGCAGGTCCAATGAAGAGATGGGGGTTTGGCGGTCAACCACGAAGTCACGGTCATTCGCTCAGTCACAGATCGCACGGTTCAGTCGGTCCCAGTCAAGGCGGTGGTAGTCGTGTGTATCCGGGCAAGAAAATGGCCGGAAATATGGGTGGCCAGAGAAATACAGTACAGAGCCTGAGAGTCTTGCAATCAGATGGGGAGAACGGCATTGTGGTGGTCCATGGTGAGTGTCAAGCCCGTGCGTGCGGGGCCTCGGGGAATGCTAATAACTCTTCCTAGGCGCCGTCAGTGGCCCGAAAGGATGTTTGGTCATGCTCCAAGACGCTCTGAAAAAGCCTTGGGTTGAGCCTCCCCCCCTCCCGAGCTCGCGGGTACCGGAAGCCAAAGTGGCGGAAAAGATTCCGGCATGATAGCAGTTTCTCTCTGCGGCGATCTGTAACAACACATCATATCAGCGACCTCTATTTGCGGGACAATTCCTTGGCTGTTGACCATTGCCATCCGCCTCGGCGGCATTACACCCTCCCAGGCTCCAGCCGCCGGTCATAGCAAGCCCTGATCACGCCCCTTTGTATTGATATCGCATCCCGCGCAGCTCGCTCAACCCGGTCTCGATCTCCGCCATACTCCGCTTCGCCATGAAGACCATCCCAAAGATAAGACCTGGAAGCAGTAGAAACAGCCACAGACCCTCCGGCACATCACTTCGTGACAAATAACCCCAGGAGGCGAGGAACAACAATGCGCAGATGAATGCATTGAGGTAGGGCAAGTACTGGTTGATGGGACTTTGATCAGAAGTCAGGAGAAAAGATGTCCGAGAACCGCTGTAGTCCCGGCGCGCGATTCGCGTGAGGTTGGACAGAGACCCCAGGGTTGTAGAAACAGGGACCATGTACATTATGTAGGCACTGGAGACGAGCGAGGTGATGCCCAATAGACATAGGAGAACCATTGTCCCCGATGTTGATCTGAACAGATACCACAGAAACGGCAAGACGATGACGAGCGGCAGGCATGTGAAAACCGTGGTGTAGATCTCGTTCGTTGATGTCTCCGAAGCCTGAAGGTTTTGTAAAAGATGCTCTTGTTCTATCGCGTGAGAAGGCAATCAGTTAGCGACAATGTCGGTGGTGTGGTTTGAGAAAGAGTTGCACCAAGAACCATTTCCGACAAGTAGCATGCCCAAAGGCACTAGAGGAGATATGTCCACATACCTTCTTCGTCCATAGCTTCTTGTGACCCATCGCCGTCGTCATCAGGGGGATACTTGAAAGCCTTCCTAAGCCTTGTGGAGTCCATGTTGACATGTGGTCGAGAAGCCTGAGAGGAGTTCATCTGCTTCGACTGGGGCTGGACCGCCCGCTTGAACAGCAGTATCAAGACGTCCGAATAGTTGTCCCTCTGAGAAGTTGCGCACACTCCATTAACCTCGGTCCGTGAGACAACTTGTGCAGATGAAAAGCGTCCAGGCGTCAAGCAATGAATGAGGCTCAGGGAAGACTGTGCCTCCGGCTAGTCGCCAAGACGCTAAATTCTACTGTAGAACTGTGGTTCTTGTTCATCTGTCCTATCCTCCTGTGCCTTGCATTCTGAGCATTACAGTCGATTCTTCTCATCTCGACCTCAAGTAGTTCATCCTCATTGAGGCCGACATGCTTTCTATGTGAATTATCCGGTCATCCTATCACGGGAGCTGCAGGACGAATCAACTGTATAAGATATGGAGTCAAGTACTCTATTTGAACCCAACATACTCTCTGTGTCATGGTTGTGCTTCGAGCCAGGCTGGGGAGAGCGGAGCTGGCGGCAGTTCTCGAGAATTGTCGGAACCAAGCCTCGCAAGCTTGTCAGAACGTCGGGAAAACTTAGCTGGCCGGCGTGATGGCTTTGGGCCGGGCTTCTGATTGAGTTCACTATGCAGACAGCATCATCATATGGTGATACCACGTATCATACCGATGAGGTCTGGAGTACCCCGGATCGATGCATACTTAGGTGCATAGAGTGGTGACATCATCGAACTGGCCTACCCCGGGTACCTACCAACTCGTATGGCTGCAATATGATCTGTGCAGGTCGGTAATCAAGTGGAAGGGTTGTGAAGTTGAGCACTTGCGTTAGCCGATACAGGGGTCAGAAAGGTGAAGCGACAATGAAGAAAATCTTCAAAAGCAACTTCGTGAAAGAAGTCCTTGCAGACACGGTCCTCTTGAGTGCACTGATCATCCTGCCTATGGCCTTCCTCGGTCCTGGCTGGCGGAAACCCTACCACAAACCTTTCGCGGAGGTGCATCGGCCAAGGACTGATCGTGGTCAAGCGGAGGCATCAGCCGACAACGATCCGACGTCTTCTGGATGATGAACATCTGGACACATATTTCGCGAGTGCCTCTCCCTCTCACACCAGCAATCCGGCTAACTCCCGCTCGAACCAATTAAAGTTCGTTTTCCCAGCAGAACCTTGGTTGAGCACGGCGAAGACAACGTCCTCCCACCAACCGCCTGAGAACTCTGGCTCTTGAAGAACCTCTGCGAAAAGACGAGCCACCTCCCTGGGAGGATTTTTGAATGCCCCGCACCCAAAGGCGCCCAGCACAATTTTGCGATGCTTGTTCGTGATGGCTGTCCGGAAAATGATTCGGATCTTCTCCCTCATAAGATCACGGTCCTCACCTCTAGCGTAGAAGTTGTGTGACAGCTCTTTTGGTTGACACAACTTACAACCGACCGAGGGTTGGTGAATGGCAGCAGCGCTGACGACGCTTATGACCGGCAACTTGCTAGGATCACGACAATCGAGCAATCTGTGGCCGTTGGCAAGACTGTCTCTGATGACGAGGACGTAGGGCGAGTAAATGGCTGCTTTGTCTGGGAGAGGGTAGAAGCGGAGCTTGAGGGTGAAGTGCAATGAAGTGCGGAAGCATAGGGCTTCCTCCTGGGCAAGGGCGCCGGTTCTGAAACCACCTCCAGCGTGGATTGCATTCGCCATGTTGAGAATACAGATCGGCTTGTCAGAAGGTGCACGGCTGAGTTGGAGTGCGGCGTCAATGGTATCACTGCTAATCACTCGGACTTTTGTCTTGGGCAGCCTTGGACAGAAGCTCTGATCAAGCGGTGCGATTCGGTCCTTGTCGTAGAGGTAGCCATCTGGCTTTGCGTCGGGTCTGGTGACGAGGAGACCAGGCAGGACCGAGATTGTTTCTTTCGCAACTTTCACTAGTTCATCCCTGTCTTCCGACTTTGCGCTGGCCGGCGGTTGCGCCTTCAGTCTTCCGTCTGAGCTCCATGATAGCTTGCTTTGTCGAAGAGCTGGAGAGGCTGAGGCTTTGTTGTCCGTGTCGGCCGCGTTAACACTGGGAGGATGGACAGTCATTGTTGTTGTGAGCTGATGGGAGGAGCGGGAGACGGCCAAAGGAGGCTAGGTGAGGCGCCACCCTGTGCTGACACAACCGGGACGCCCAACTGACTGGAGTTAGTGGTTTGCGGAGGCACCTGAAAAGGCGCAAGGCTGAAATACGGAGTCCGGAGTTCACTTCTTTTTCACTTTTCCCTCACTAGGTATTCACTCAGAACTCAATATTTTACCCGCTCCTGTTTACCTAGACTATCATATCTTTTCTACAACACTACCCTGGCAGCTGTCTGTATATCGCAGTTCATGTTGCGTATAGCCAGATCACGCTCCTGCAAGTGCTGCGAGACAAGAATTATTTTCCCTGATTAGCAGTACAAATTGGATGATCAATCTCTGGCCATCAGATTTAACACGAACGCCAGGCATTGTTTCATGCGACAATCACAGCTTTGCTGGACTTCAGATCACGTCTATTCTACCTGATTTCCTTCATGGCTAATGATCAGTCAATTCCCGCGGAAGGACAGTACGGCTGCCCATCTTCAATCTGCTGATTACTCGGATCACGGCATCGGTCGTCTCAATTGACCTCGACCTTGTGAATCTGTACCTGTCTTATGATGCTCACGGCTCCTGTGTCCCATCCTGGGCTTCGCGTATTACAAGATCTCTGAGAGGGCAAGCGACCGACTCGGTTCCTCGCAACTCGTTTGCTAGTCGGCGTCTGGGCCCAAGCCAGAGCTGATCTGTTATTTTTGGGAGGCTGCATGACGGACTGCATGCCTCGATCATATTTAGAATTGACATAAGGGTAAGTCCGACTGTTCTCTATCCCCTTCTCATCCTGGGAATTGAAGCCTCGGAGAAATACCGCCAATGGGAACCCTCTAGGGGCATACCTATGTATCATTCCACACCAGGCTGCCGTAGCGCTGTCCGGGCCTCGACACTTACAGAAGTAGACGACTCCCGTACGACCAGGTAACTGCAGCTCACGTTTTATTCGAGACAATACGAGGTCAAAGGAACATGCAATTTATCGGGTTCGGGTTGGAGCCTCCTTACCAGTCGCCCAGCTACCGTGCTGCCGGATATGCTCAGGCACAATTGCGCGCGGCGAACGATCTCGGATCCTCTCATCTGTTATGGCCTCCCCCTTGGACTGACCACGACAGACATCGAAAAGGTGTACAAAGGCCGCTTCCACCTCTGCGTCTCAGTGCCCACTAGTCGTCTACTATTCCCAGCATTTGCAGGCATCGTAAGTGTTTCGTCAGTCGCTCATTACCCATCTTTCTCCTTTTCAGCTCAGTCTGCTTCGTAAATAGTACAATCATGAAGACAGTCAGCATTGCATCTTCTCTTGCTATGGCATGTGTAGCGGCGCTGCACCTTCTTCGCCCTGGGGCGGCGGTTATGGAAACGGCGGCAATGGTGGTAATGGCGGGAAGTTTGTTACACATGACCAGGCCACGAAGCTCGTCCATGACTATGCCTTCTTCCTTGCGCACGCCGACCCGAATCAAATCCAACTGTAAGCCAATGCGACAGCTCAGAAGATCCTTGCACCCGATTTCACCGAGCAGTCTGACTCGATCAATGGCTTCCTTGGCCTCAAGGTAGGTTTCCTCAATCAATGCAAGTCTCGGTAACTGGCTGAGACGCATTAGCCGGGCGATCGCACCTTCCCGACCAAGGAGGGCTACATCAACGTGGTGCTGGCCCAGCCACCTGTCTTCGGTATTACCGATCTTCAGCTCGTGCCGTTCAGCTACGACCAGATCCTCTGGTACTGAAAGTTCAATTACCCAGGCAACTTCAACGCTCCCCAACCACCCCAGGCCGTTCAGGGAATGAACATTTTTGTCATCAACGACAAGGGCCTCATCGAGCACGTCAATGTTGAGTTCAGTGTCTTCTACTACGTCGACCTTGGCTTCAACGTCTCTGGCTTCAATGGTCCGATTGCGGGTGTGGACCCTTGAACTCTTCACAACGAGGGAACTAGTTAGCATGGACACTGTTAAGGCCTAAAGCAGCGATTCTGGTCAGTTAACGATTTCTCCTAGATAGGAGCATTGCTTTCTCTGGACAGAGCAGGGTGAGGCTGAGTCCTGCCGACCAGTGTTGATGGTGTGATCTGTACTGTATGATGTTCAGGAAGAACACAATATATTTAAATGAATTGTACTCCGTACTCCGTATAGGTTCGGGTTCGATTTTGTCCCCGATCTCATGTGTGCATAGTGCAAGTGGCCCAAGCGCCCGTCGGGTGGTGGTTGAGGCAGCGTCATGGTCTTCTTGAAGATGGATGAGCTCGACTGTACGGAGTATCTGCCTTCGTCCTAGCGGCAGGGTGCAGTGGCTGGGAAACGGGTCTTGACCTGACACCACGAGCTTGTCAGGCTGAGTTTCGTCGCGGGCCTGTCCACGATTTCAACGGCGTGCCACCACCTACCACTCTCGATCGATATGCGCTCAACTTTGGCCTCCGTAACAGGCAGCCTAGTGCGAAGTGCAAGCTCTGTCTGATTTCTTCTCTTACCATTGTTGCACTCCGTTGGTACGGCCAAGCAGGGGACGGCCAGAGGGCCCTTCTCCAGGCGGCAGAATGCCGCGCCGTAAGCTTGGCGGCCTCAATCCACCTATTGTTTGGATTCGAAATCCTTCATTTGGGTTGCAATGTCTTCTTTGTGAAATGTCGAGAAATTGTGTGGTGTTCTTGGTCCATTTCAACCTTTGGGACTTAATCCTTGGACATGTTTAATACCACGTCGGCAGCGCAAGATGGGCGTCTCAACTTGATCTACTCTGTAGCCGAGGCGGCCTGGTGGCGTGAAGAACCAAGTTTCGCGACCATGAAATAAGCGATTGGTGAGGAAGGCCGATTAACCACGATTTTCATTTTTCCCCCTATGATGTAAGAAAAGGTCGCAGCCGATCCCTAATGGCCTAGACGTCACTTTGTCGCAGCTTTGGCGGTGGCGAAGACAATATATCCGCCTCTCTTTCGTCTGGGCAACGGTCTGCTTATCAGGTCGTGTATTGCAGAGCCGCGAGAATGCGCTCAACACGATGAGCGATCCGAACCCATACGTTAGCAATGGAACGTGCTATACTGCGCGAGGAGAGAGATTGGACGGGAGCTTTGTCCCATGCGGCAACGACGCCTTTGGTCATCAGACGTGCTGTGGAGCAGGAGACAACTGTCTAGCTGACAACGCTTGCTTCGGGGTCCACGGCGATGGTTATGGTAGCTATTTGACGTATCTGGCTGGCTGCACCGATCCAGACTACGAAGCTTCGACTTGTCCACAGAAGGAAATAGGTGAGCGACTGTCCATGAGCCAGAGCTCTTGGGATGCATCAACTCACACTTCTTAGATCAGCCATGGGTCGCCCTCACGCATTGCGACGGCAGCAATGGTGAATGGGCCATCTGCTCGCAGGATGGAAACCCTTCGACTCTCCAGCCAGGGTCGTTCTGCAGCTGTACCAATGCAGCGTCTGCCACCATTGCATTCAGCGATTCACCTACCCTCACCAGTATTGCCTCGCTACCGCAGGGCACCGGACAGAGCATACAGTTCTTCGTCGGCCATTTCCCTAGCTCTGACCTAACCTCTGGTTCGGCCGGCGCATCTCAGAGCTCTGGCGTTACCGGCACCAGCGGTGGCGATAGCTCTTCTGGTGCATCTTCCACGGGAGCGCCTTCTACGAGCAGCTCCACCACGGTCATTACATCAAGCGGCGCGACAATTACCGTAACCACCGCGGTTTCGACGACCACTCCAACCGGTACGGCAGGCGGAGCAAATAGCGGTACCACTCAGTCAGGGCTCAGCTCTGGGGCCAAAGCGGGCATCGGCGCCGGAGTGGGTGGCGGCGCATTGATTCTTCTCGGCATTCTATTAGCTTTCTTTCTGCGGCGCCGTAAGCGTCGCAGGTCCCCTCCACAGCCCTCGCAGCCATCGGAGCCAATGGTTGAGAGCACCGACTATGACACCGCCGCAAAACCCGCCAAGCCGCGCCCGTCCGACGAACCGCCCATGTCTACAACGTCAACTGTGCATCCGGTATTCGATGCGAATGGCGAGCTCGTACCCGAGGCTGACGGGCGACCCGCCTATCCTTGGGCCCTGAGAAACGAGCTTGAGGGAAGCCAGCCGGTCAGGAAGCCAGAGCCCCCTCCCATAGCGGAGCTCCCAGGCAGTGAGAGGTTCGCGGGCGAGCAGGGAGCGCCCAACACGCTAGCTCACGAAGCGAACGTCCAAATCGGTCCTGGATGGCAAGGGAACTCGCTGATGGCGCTGAACAGCGGCGCAGGGAAAGAGTACATGCAGTCTTCTAGCTAGCGTCCCCGTGTTTTCGCAGTGCAGTATATACGTGTAAAGATCCCATTATGGAGGAACTCGAACCGCGCTATTGCAAGGCGAATGGAGCATGGTCCGGAGCACATGAGGAGGGTTTGAGAAGTACATATAAAGGCTACGTTGGGAGCGAGCCACCTAATCAGAAAGATCGGTACAAGACTTGATCGCATGTATATATCCAGCAGAAGGTTGGGTTTATCTCTCTGCCAATTGGTCCTGGAGCTCTCTTCTCCGCAGTCTCGGGCCATCCGTCCCGCCCGCGGCCTTGTTCGTACGTCGAAACACTTCCTACCACTTGAGAAAATGAGTCCTGATGTCCGGGATGGACGCCGGCCCATGCCCGCTCTGGCTTCGGGGATCTGCGAAAGGCAGCCAATGCATCTTTGGAGCACCTTCAGTTTTGCGAATGGACGTTTTGCTTGACGGCCCCTTCCCATCAACGACGGTAGCAGAGCTAGGGCTTGCCCTTCAAAAGCCAGCGGATTGGATTGAGATCAGTCGTGTCTCCGGCCTGGCACACCACCCCTGTCCTCATTGCTAAATACTCCATGACACTGACTCATCCGAGTTGACCAGCATGGACGGGCTCCTCAAGCAGTCGCCATCAAGTCTGAACGTCTCCATGAGTGTAGCGGTCGCATATGGTGCATTGGCTCTGTGCCTCGCACTTGCAGGTAAGCGCCGTGTTGAATGAGTACTTGCCTTACAACCGCGACGGGTGTTGAGTGTCACTGCAGGGCTCTGCTGGACATACCGCAACAGAGGCTTCTGGACGTCGCGGTCTGCCAACTCAGCATGGATTGGTGGACCCGAGGGGAAAGCCTTCATAGGCAATCTTCGCGAGCTTCAAACCAACGGCGCGGCCAGCTGCAAAGCCTGGTACTCCCTGTATGAGCGCTACGGGCCTGCTTACGAGATGACAATTCCCTTCTTCCGCCTGCATGTCATCAACCATCCCGTCTATCTCGAGCACATCCAGAAGCACAACAGCAAGAACTACATACGCGGCGCATTCACGCGTAACGTCTTTGGCGAACTTCACAGACGGGGCATATTCGTCGCGGATGGCGCCGAATGGCACGTACAGCGCAAGGCAGCGACACGGGCGTTCAGCAAGCGGAACTTTGAAACCCACATCACGCGGTCCCTGCATCACTGGCTTGACGTCCTGATGCGCCTGTTGTCAAATCTGGCCAGGGAGCAGAAGACGTTTGACCTGCAGAGCTTGATGAGTCGGTTCATGTTCTGTCTCTTCCTCGGGATCGCGTTCCACGAGGACGAGCTCGCGCTGGCCGTCATGTCCGCGGATCCGAAGAGTCTCGAGACCACGCCGGAGTACGTCGAAGCGTTGGATCGGGCTCTGTACCGTGTGTTGTTCCCATTCCACTCATATTCCAGAAGGCCCCTGTGCCGTCTTGTCTGATGTGTTTCGTGTTTGTGATACAGTGTTTGACCGACGCAGACGTTACCCTCTCTGGAGACTTACCGAGAAGTTATCTGGTGAGGACAAGACCAGCAAGAGAGCCGCAGCACTCTTCTACGCACAAATCGATGGTCTTATCAAGAAGCGGCTTGACATGATCAAGAATGGCTATAAGCCCAGCCCAGATGACGGCGTGGACCTTCTAGACCTCTTCATGCAATCGACAGACGATCCACACACATTAGGTGGCATGGTGTTTGGAATCCTCGTAGCTGGTCGTGAGTCGTGGACCTTCCATCTTGGACCAACGAGCTACTAACGGGGCCGCCCACAAAGGCGACACAACCGCGTATAGCATCTCATGGCTCATGAAGGAAATCCACCACCAGGATAACAAGCATCTAGACGCTGCGCAGAAGATCCGAGCCGAAGCCAAGGAGCTGGGCTTCACCACTGGTTATCTCGGCTATGGTGACACGCCTGTAGGTTCACCAACTCTCAGCTAAGCTGGCGCTCCCAGGTCCAGTACCCAGGTCCAGTACGCTGACATCAGGTCGCGAAGAAAATGCGATTTGCCAACGCAATGTGGCACGAGACCGCGCGCCTGAACACCGTCTCCCCAGCCGGCCAAATGGAGGCAGCGGAAGATGACGTCCTCCCTGCGGTGCCCGATCTCAATATGCGTCCTCGTCGCATCAAGAAGTAGGCTCGATGTCCTCGCGTGGCTTCCGTCGAGCAAGTCCAGTCACAACTGACCCAAGACCAGGGGCGACGTTGTTAGTTATCAGAACTACGTCCTCTCCCGGATGCCTGAGGTCTGGGGAGAAGACGCCACTGTCTTCAACCCGTACCGATGGTTCACAGAGAATGGAGAGAGCCTATCCTATAGCCCATTCAGTAAGCCCAGACTCGTCCCTCAGAGGAGGAAGACTATGACTTGGAAGAAACTCACCCTGGAGTGTCCAGAATACCATTCATGGAATGCCGGGCCACGTAGCTGTCTTGGGCGCGCGCTCGCCACCTACGAGGGCATCGCGACCAGTACTGCCATTCTACAGCGATTCGATATCAGCTTGGCAGACGACAGCAGGGTGTATGAACCGCTTGCTGCCATGAACATGGTGCGCTAGTGGTATTTCCTGCCTCGGACACATGGATACTGATGCGTGCTTCTTGTACAGGGGATCAAGGGAGGTCTGCCTATGAGGGTCAGCGAGAGGGTTCTGTGAAGCCCAGCCTGTGCCTAGAGGTCTCTGGTGAGTGAAAGGAAGATGATCCCCTTTGACGTCGGCACAGTAAAGAGATCAGGCTTCCAGAAGCGCTCGACGATGAAGGCGACATCCTTGAGAAGCTGCCATATCCTTTGAGAGGGATCAAGGTTATAGTCCTGCTTCCTGCAAAGGCAAGGGTCGGCCACGGGGAGTGGCAGCAATAAGTGCACAACAACACAGCAAGAAACCCAGCAATTTTCAGTTCCACGGACTTGTATCTGCCTGACTGTCTCCAACAGCACGTCTCTCCTTACTGATCTGTAAGCACAGCGCTCTCTTCCGTCATTAAGTCGAATGCCCAGTCCGTCCCTACCTTGCAAAGTCCTCAGGCTTGACCGTTCCACGCTTGATCACCCTATTGTCCCCGTGCAATATGATCGACTCGACCTTCAACCCTTAGGACAATTAATTCTGGTTGGCGACACAACTGAGGAGAAACGTGTCCGGCATAGGAACGTCCCATTGACGACCCGACAACCTGTCTTTGTCTTCTCCCGTGGAACCGCTTGCCAGTGCCACTGATATGCACAACGTGTACTTGAGTGGTAGGGTTAGACATGGTGAGGATTTAGAAGTGTGCTTCCGGAGGTGGGGGGGAGCATTGGCCAAAGCGTGAGAAGTGGATTTACATATTGACTTGCACCTTCTCCATTGCTTCTCCGCATCAAGCATTAAATGCCATTCACCTTATTGTCAACTCACTTCAATAATCACCAGAAACAACACTTGAGACAGTGAATACCCATTTCCACTGCCTGGGGGATACGGCAGTTCACCTGATCTGACGAAAATCATCGCCTCTGACTTCACTTCGCCTCGCCATGGACGACGCAGACGAAACCATGACAACCTCAACCTCCTCCACGCCCTCTCAACTCCAGGACACCACTCTCGGCGACGAAGCCTTTGAAAGCGACCTTCCGCCCGCACGTCCTCAGGCACAAGATTCCAACCGTGCTCTAACGCCTGCAAACGACCACCTGAACGCCGCCGCTCCAGGGGAACTTTCCCCGCCTCGAATTCAACCCACCCAAGCTGAATACACAGCCGCTCTACTTCCAGATCCTGCACCCACCTCAGGGGCAATGGCAAACGGCACGGCAACACGTAGCTCAGCCAGACAAGCGAACATGCAACCTAAATCTGGGGCAGCAGGGGACATGGCAGCCTTCCCTGCGTTGGCTGGTACGACTAACGAGAAGGACATTGCTAATCAGCCTGGTGGGGGTTGGAAGAACAAGAAGGCGCAGGAAGATATGCACCGTGCTTGGGACAATATTGTCGATCGGGACTTCAACCTTAAGGAGTATGGAGATGTCATGATGCAAGGCAAGGCGCAGAGAGCTGGCGTATAGCTACCTATCAGATACTCAGGATGTGAAGATACTAAGGGAGGTCCGGAAGAGTAACGGCGTGGTGAGATCAACATGGACGACGAAAGCGAATATCACAGCTCCGGCGTTTGAAATGCATGGCACAAGGCGCCCACAACGTCTACGACATTCATGAGGAATGGCATACATACCCAGGATTACGGAGTATGACGCACAAGACAGCGCGACCATCCTGAGGACTTCTAGCTTGGGATGTCTCAACGTGGTCACACTCAGAGGCCGGCCCCCATGCGTCCTACATGTGTACGGCCGTGTCGAATGCTGATTACGCTTACGCATGTGTCTTTCACGTTACTTACCACCTGCCCTCACCATACACATGCCTCACCGAATACACCAACTCGGCTGGTGTGGAAGTATGCGTCAACACTACATCAAAGTTGCACAGCATGCTTCTCAATCAGCGAGCATGAATCCAAGGCGGACCCTGGCTACTATCGGCCGCCGTGTTCCCCCAGCATCTGTAGCCTTCTCATCCAGGATGGGGCGCAGTTCCGACCACTCCCAGCATTTCAAGCACTTTGCAAGATGCAGCAGCACGGCATACTACCCTTCTACAAAAGGGAAGTCCGGAGATGGTTCGTGGGGACTGTTTATGGGTTGATCCAGTCCCGTAACTTCGAAGACTTCGGCGGATTCAGGGCTGTGATCCGTACCTGACAACAGCAGTTGCAGTCAGACGAGCAAGAAGGACACGAGGACCTGGCCTGGTCGTAACAACCGCGTTGAGCCAATGGGCGTCTGATTTTCCAGGCCTCCATTACCGAGTTTATCTATCACAACCTAGAGTCCCCTTTGAGCGAGGGCACAGTACAGTAGATACAACAGCCCCAGCTTCTTGCGGCTCAAATGCTCGATGTATGATCCCACATGCTCCTCAGATGTGCAGGAACTTGGGAAAGCATTGATGGTAGGCAGGATAGATCATCTTCCCGTTATCTACCTTGAAGTTATCTGCTCATTCACTGCCCTCATAGCTACTATGTCGTACTTTGCACATTCTCGTCCGACAAAAGGATCCTAGGTAGAACCCGTGCTGCTGAGTGCCCAGACCCAAGACATGCTCTCGCGCCCTAAGTGCATCTTTCCTAGCCCAACCTTGACGTAGTCTGCGCCAAAGGTGACCTGAATTCGCGATGCTGCCTCAACTGTGCGGTGAGATTGAGTCCGAGATCGTAACTTTGTCCCCCCTCTCGTCCTGAGAGATCAATGGAACTTCCAGCCACGGGGGAGCTGAGTAAAAGCAAAGCAACCAATCCTTGTGTACACGCACTCTTGAAGGCTGTAAGGCTTGCGCCTGATTCTGCTAGCCTCCACACTGGAAACGCGTGCTTGGCTTTTGGTTGCGACGGCGATCTGCATCGTGCCACGGCTGAAGTCTCATGCTTCACTCACAGGGTAGTTTGGATTGCGGCCGCGGTGTTGCGACACAGTACGCATGCGTGACAGGAACTGCTGGCGAATAATCCATGCCAGGGTCGAAGCGTTCAAGCGTGTGATGTTGGCAGGCACCATCCCACTATCACACTCCACATGGGTATGAACGAAGCCGCTGGAGTATCCATTGATTGGTCCGGTAGCCACGCTCGTTCCCACGTAATTCTTCAGTACCTGGTCTTGTGCATGTTCTTCCATCCCTAGTGCGCCACCCACCTCACCTCCTCACCCCGGCCGGCGCCAGGCCCGGCACATTCGAATATCGCTCATCCCGCTCCGTCTTGAACAGCACCTGGCACCAAAACTCCTTGGCATCCGCATCCCACCAAGTCCAATACCTCCCCTCGCGCCGATCGACCTCGCGACTCTGCAACTTGAACCCACACGTCTCGTACGGCTCCGCGGCCACGAGCAAGTACTGGTAATCCCTGTCCGGCGGCTCCTCGACTTTCTGCTCGAAAGCGCTCATGAACCGCACCTTCGGCTCCACGTTGGGCGTGATCTCCGGGTAGAGCAGTTGAAAAAGCAGTCCCACCTGGCGCGTCAGCGGATCGCGGATCTTCGTGATCTTGTACCCCGGCCGCCCGATCTTGACCATATTCTTGCGCACCTGCACGCCCATCATGCCCCCTGCGCCCAGGAGGTTGCCGTCCTTTTGTGCTTCTTTTTGTTCCCGGGCCGCCCGGCGCGCGAGGTTCGTTTGATGTTTGCGCCCCTGCGTGTGGGCGAGGTAGGAGCCGTCATTCTGGTGCACGGTCAGACAGAGCCGGCATTCGAAACTGCCGACGTGGTTCTTGAAGAAGTAAGGGTCTTTGTCCAGGTCGATGGTTTCGAGGGCGAGTTTGCGGAGGCGTTCGCGGCGGTCGGCGTTGGTGGCGGAGTGCGAGGCCACGCCGCCACCGCCGAACTTGGAACCGGCGCGGTTCTGGTAATCCATTGTTGCGGGTCAAGAGAAAAAGATAGAAGAATGAAACAAGGTTTCGAAGTTTAGGCTCCCGTAGGACAGTGGTCGCTTTGCCCTTTCTCGCTCTTCCCGGAGGGTGCAGGTACACCAAAAGATGGTAGATGGCAGACGCGTGTCTGCGAAATGGAGTGATGATAAAGAAAGCGTGTAGAAGAGCCTCAGTAAGAGGGGTGGAGCAGCAAGGTGTAATAAAGGGAGAATGTGCTCAGTAGTTAGTGGGTGTGGTGAAGAAGATCTGAGGAGCAATTTGAGATGAACTCCAGCTCGAATACTCCGATTCAGCCTCGACTCGACTGTCTCCGCATATCTCCCGCAAGGCTGCCGCATCAGATCAGCTCCACTTATTGGCATCAGTTCCTCTTCTGAGTTACCTCGTACAATTGATTCAGACCGTCTTGAACTCGTAGATCTAGCTAAACCTCCGCCTCCCCTCCATGTCGGAATCATTCTACACCTCTTCCCTCCCTGCTGGCGGAAGCTCCCAACCATCGCCGCACCCACCACTCTCGCCCACCACTGGCAATGCACCACCTCCCCCTCCGAAACCCCTCTCCCACCTCTCGCAATCCGCCAACCCATCTCGCTCCGGCACGCCCACTCTCTCATCCACACCGACAAACACTTCTGCGCCAGCATTCCCGCTTAAGACGGACTCTCCGCGCCCACAGCCGCCGTTACCAACCCAACGTACATCCACTCCACTTGCCGCTTCCCACCCACAGCAGCAAGAACAATACCAACCCATTCCCCCCCCCGCACTCACGGACCGCTGGCTCCCAGCGAATGTGCAACCAAAGCCCCTGACCGAGCTTCACTCCCTGCTGAACAGCCCTGCCCTCACGGCCTCATTGGCAAGCCAGCATCCCAGCTATGCGTCCTCGCTGCAACCTCTGCACGCTGCGATCGAAGCAAACATTGCGCTGGCCCAACAAGTCTCGCATCTGGAGGGCCAACTGCGCCAACTGCGCGATGAAACGGCTCAGCTGCTTTTGAACCACGCGAGCTTGCAGACGCAGTGGAGGAGAAAACAGAGTGAAATGGATGACGCTGTGGCACCTTGGGGCCCGAGGCAGATGTACCAGAGGCTGGTGTCGAGTATCCATGAGCAAGAGGCGCTGTTAAAGGCTATGCAGGAGAGCTTTCTCGAAGGCGGGAATGACGAAGATGCATACTATGGTGCCGCTGGCGGAGTGAAAGCCAGCGAGAAAGAGGTCACTGAGTGGGTGAGGAGGATTCGAGAGGGTACGACGACGTTGGAAAAGAGGCGAGAAATGCGAGCACGGTGGGATGAAGGCAGAGTCGGTGGCTGGAGGTGATCAATTCCATCACTAACGATAATGCCTGATGCCTATTCTAACCTGATACTGTTGCTTTGATCCTTGTCTCAGCGCACAGGCCATAACGACAACGGCTCTTGCAGTCCATCTCTTCACAGCGCAATAGCAAATACGAGGCACACCACAGCGCCCACGATGCTTGAACCCAGCGCTAGTGTCATGTCTGTGGACGAGGCTCCGCTCTGCTCGTCCTCATCGTCCACGGACGTGAACACGGCTTCGGACGCCGAGGCAGCAAAGCTGAAGATTGAGGCAGCTTCGGACGACATTGTGACGGCCTGGTTCGATAGTGCGAACGCGCTGGTCTCCAGTTGACTGTCTGTGATGCCTGTGGCGTATGTTGATAGCGAGGATGCTGAATCAGACAATCGACTAGCTTCTCGTGACTCTGAGGATGCTAGAAGAACCATTTCATCGAGCTGTGCGGAGATCATGCTCTGGTACATTGAAATGCTGGAGATCCAGTAGTCGACAATCTCCTGCTCAGGAGCTTGGATGCTCATGGTGGGAGGTGGTGTGATTGTGGCGTCGTAGTTGGTGGCACCTTCGTCCAACTTGGCATACCACTGTGGCACGTTCGTTCCAGACAACTCCTTGGCCAACAACTCGGCTGCTCTGGGATCATCGAGGATAGCCCTTTTGACATAGTCCGGGACGTGGACCAAGTCGCTGAGTCCGGGAAGAGCTCTTGCATCGACTTGATGTGCACCATCATCTTCAGATTGGGGCGTCACAGCGCTCGGGGCATGGGGTGATCGAGCCTCAAGTTCGTCGTCGAATGGAGAGCCGGTATCCTGGCGAGCTGCCGGTGCTGGGAAGCTGAGTAGCTTTTGAACAGGCAAGGGTCCCTGGACGTTGTCATTGGTGCTTTGAGCCAGAAGAGGGACGTCGCCGAAGTTGTCGTTGTGAGAGCCTCGATTCTCGTGCTCGTGCTCGTGCTCGGAGGCCAAGGATACAGAGGCAAAAGCCACAAGGGCAGAGACGAGGAATGTTTTGCTGTGCATCCTGAGTGTTGGAATAACGAGCAGCTGTATGGTGGAGAGGTGGAGTCAAAGAGAAGGCTTTGTGCTGATGATAAGAGAGTCCGAGACGGTAAAGAATGGATGCAACAGCTGCTAAGAATTGATGGCACGAGCACAGCTCAAGAATCGATGCTTGGGTGTGGTGGATGTGGACAAAGTGATGCGAAGTGAGGAAAAACTGTAGAGGGTAAGTCGATCTAAATATGCGCTGAATGATGTGGGAGGCACCTTCTCCAGGCCATGCTCCTTCCAGCGCTGAAGCACTGAGTCGTTGCGATGGGCAGGCGGTCGGCATTCAGCAACCACTGGAGGGCAGGTGAACATGGTCGCTCGGCGAAGCTGTGGCAAGTGCGGATAGCGATTGGAGTGGCCAATAACTTGATCTGTCCACGGGCGAGTGAAAACAAAGTGAGGGTGCTGTGATGAATTGGGAGCGATACTCGAGCATGCGGAATGAAACCTTTCGACGCTCCCGCGTAGAGACATACCATTGCGTTTGTGCTGTTGCGTCCACTTGCTCCATAGGGCCTGGCACGTCCTGCTCGCTGTCATGCGCAATCACTGGTAGTAGACGCTACAGCATTCTCAATGACGAGTACAGACCACAAGGCACTTCTCCAGAGACGGAGAGACTCAATCATCCATAACGCCTGCCGTCGTGGCAGACACTCTGATGCCACCAACCCTGCGACTCGTGCACTGCAACATAATCTTCGGTGTTGCCGACGGCCGAGAAGCAGAGGTGGCCAAACTCCGTATAAATTGTCAACTTTAAAATCTGTAGGACGATGGTGAAGACGGTAAGATTACTGCCAGCATATTCAAACACACACGACACATCCTCTCAGCAGTCACCCTGCAGTCGACGCGACGCGTAAGGCCAGAAATTTTGTCGCTGACATTTGTGTGACTTTTGATTGGCCAGTCCCAACCCATTGACGAATCGCCGTACCACGCCGCCGTCAGCCACAGCACTATTTATCACTGCGTTCATCTGTGAAACAAGGCGAGGCGCGACATCAAGAAAGGACTATCTTTCCCACAGCCTGTATTGACTCCAGGAAGGACCCAAACTACCTAGGTACAGGACTTGCGCCACTTCTCCAGCAGCACCGGGGCGAATAAACCAACCATACCCTGGCAGCATGGTCAAGATGGCGCGCGGAAAGTGCGAACAATTGACCCGACACACCCAACGATCCCCTGAGCGAGAGACCTTACCAACAGCAGCAGATCTAGAGGCAAACCGCCCACTTCTGTCCAAAACGTCCACCCTGCACGAAGTTGCCGAGGTCCAAAGCCACTCCCAACATAAGGTCAACGAAATACAAGGACGGAGAAGGTGGCCCTGGTCCAGCTGGACTTTTCAACTCAGTGGATGGGTCGTTTCTGACGCAATCTTGGGGCTGTCCGATGGCCTCACCGTACCCTTCGCACTCACTGCTGGTTTAACAGCTCTGGGAGACACGAGAGTTGTCATCCTTGGCGGGATTGCAGAGCTGATCGCTGGTGCGATATCAATGGGCCTCGGGGGATATGTTGGTGCAAAGAGCGAAGTGTAGGTTCAATTTCAAGCTTCGGTTGAGAATAAAGAGTGGCTGACCATGGCAGCGAATCATTCAATGCCACAGCGCGAAGTTGCAGCCAGCTTATGCTGCATGAGCCCGAGACTGCAAGGGACCTCGTCCGAGAGTACTTCGAGCAATTCGGACTGTCAGCAAAAGACACGACAAGAGTTGTTGACCACATCAGAGCGTCAGCACCAATGTTCAAAGAATTCCTCATGCAGAACCATTTCCAGGCAGCCAAGCCAGAAACAAACCGACCTTACCTGTCAGCACTCACTCTGGCACTCAGCTATTTCGTTGGGGGGTTCATCCCGTTGATACCATATTTCGTTGTGGCTCGTGATGATGTACTGGCTGGTCTATGGTGGAGCATCGGCCTCATGGCTTTGGTGCTGCTGATCTTTGGATACGTGAAGACGGGCGTCGTTCGGGGCTGGACTGGGAGAGACAACTACCGAGCGTGTACGGCCGGAGCAGGGCAGATGCTGATAGTGGGTATCATTGCTGCTGGGGCAGCAGTCTGCCTGGTTCGCTTCATCAACGCTGAATAAGAGAATCGCGCGAGCAGCTGAGGTTGGATCAATGTAGGACTTGGTATGAGAATGTGGTGAAGATCATAACCCGATTCTCTATGGTGGAACTTGCTCTTACTCGTATTCCCAAGAGTCTTTCCCCGTTGAGGAGCGGGCTTCTGCTGAACGCCTGCCTCGTGCGCGAAGGCCAAGACCTGATGCTGCTGAGTATGATCGGAGACTGCCAACGGAGGACAAGCAAACAGTAAGCTGGGTGCACGAAGACGTGCGGTTGGCGCTCAACGGGGAACAGGCATGTGGATCTCGCGGCGGAATTTTCACAAGGCTGATATTTCTCTATCAAAAGGCCTCGGTAAGAGAGTTAACTCAGGACTGTCATCCTGAGTTGTTCTGGGCATATCACCAAGGTACTGTACCTAGGTACAGATTGTAGGAGGCAAGTGCATTGGTGGCGGCAGAGTTGCAGTTGGAGAAAAAGAGAGACAAAGTGAAGTGGGCAAACAGCGAACTCGGGTGTCTCCCACTCTCACCCGCCCGTCATTGAATTTTTTACTTTTTCCACAATTCGTCTTTTGCGTCCTTTCTCTCGCTTTCTCAATTGGCTTGACCACTCGCATCGCTCCCCTGCTTATCCTGCGGATTCTACAGTACGTATGATTTTTCCCTCATACTCCGCTACCGCTGGCGCCTTCCGAGAAAGTGGAGCACCGTTGAATCTCGTGGCAGCAGCACCCAGCAGCAAGGTTGGATCCATCTGACTGACTCGGTTCTCGGTTGCCAGGCCCAGGAAGTCACAACTCCATGGACCAGATCCTCAATTGGTTATCGTTCTGATGCATTGCGATACCTCTCGGGGACGGCCGAGGACCACTCTTCACTTCTTTCCGTAATGCACGTTCAACTTTTCGTGTCAGTGCCAGGCTCGAGGTCCGCCGGAAATGGCTTCTTCTGTCCGTGACGAGAGATACACCCTGTCGACACTATCGGACACATGCCCATCGCAGCCCGTCTTCTCGATGTTCGGAAATCCATCTTGCGTCGTGCATACCTATGGTGTTTTTCCGAGAAGCTTACTATTGATTCTGACCTGCACGCTACGGTCCTCGTAGTGCATGCTTCCCATTGGTTTCCCAGAGTCCGGTATACGGTTTACTCCCAGCCACGTCTTTTCGACCATCCTGTCTGTTCGTTGCGACTTATGCTATTGGGCTGCCATCACTTTGAAAGTTCTGATTGGATCCACACCGTTACTGGCGGCCTCCGCTCGAGTCCCTTGCAGGTCCCGAGTGTTCTTTCTTCTGGCTTTTCCGCCAACACCATGAACATATTGTTCCCGCTTGCAGGTACCAGCTCATCACTGGTCCAGGAGGACCACCGCCTTGCATGAGTATATGCACCTTTTCAACGGAAATCCGACCCTTGTTTGCGCATGCACAACTGGTAGCGACACAAAATCGCTCAATCTATCCCGGCTACAAGGTTTCAGCGATACCCAGTCGCTTGGTAAAGCCTATTTGACTTGTCCAAGCGAGTCTTCTCTGTCCTTGAGACGCATCCAACACTGGCGCATTGAGTGATTGGCTTCGGGCGGACATGTAGAGTCTGGCACGTACGTGCCCGATACCATGAGACTCCAAGAAGAGGCAGAGACGTCCGAACAAGGACAAGTTTCGAGGCGGATACCCGATATGATCGAGATGTCAACTCGGTGGTTACACGGACTGTTGATGGCGGGTCCTCAACAACCGCGGGATGGGGATACTCCAGTTGCTATGGCCAGAAAATAAGCCAGGTGCTTGGTCGCAGACACGAAGCGACTACCCTCGTGGTAAGAATTATGGTTGCAACGTGGTTCCTCCGCCACAGAACGGAAGTTCTGACAACCATGGGAAAGTAAGCACCCGAAAGTCGCAGAGTGAAGAATTGCGAGAAGGCCACAGGGCCTACTGTGCCGAGCGTTGCATTCGCAGCATCCTCATGAAGTCCGGATGCTTTGACCGGGTACAGCTATCACGATCACCATGATACATCTTACGCTGTATTTGATGGGAGCTTTCGAGGTGGAACTGGCTTAGCGTCACCCGGCTAAAGGCGACCTCTTTTCAAGAGGGCCGAGTGAACTGCAAACACAGAGCGATGGGGAATCAACCGTAGGACAGAGAATGGGCCGCCGGGTAAGGATCCATTATTCCACCACATCGTAACTTTGAAGCAGAGGACGATCTCTGCCTAAACAAGGTTGTTCTTGTGGGCGAAATTGTATGCACGACTGACGTATTGGGATACAATCTGCATAGATTTTGCGTGCACACGACATACTGGGCACCAATGCAGTTTGCGACCCGAGTCTGGTCCCTCTAGCAGCAAAGAATCCTCTGCGGTGGCTAATTCCCGTGCAGAAAACAGCGCGAAGAGAGTTCACACACGCCTGCTCTGAAGGTGATGGTGTCGCACAGATTCGACAACACATCAGGCGCGGCGGTTAGATCGTCAACTTGCCTTTTGAGCACGGATGTGCCGCCAAGCATCACAAGGACACGTGGGCGTACACAAGCGAACGGGAAGCTCAACAGATGGTGTGCCGGGCACGCTGGGTTCTCGCTGTGCCTGAAGCCTGCCCCTCTTTTGCCTAGCTTGCCGGCGGCCTTGCTCGGTGCGCCTCCGGACAAACTTTCCAATCGGCGGACGTTGGTACCTGCCACTTTGATCCCGGTCGAAGCGCCCTGACCGAGGCGGGTCTGCCAACCAGGATGTGCCAAGTTGAACCTTTAGGGCTTGCATTAGCTCAGGTACCTCTCGTCCTTTCGGTTTGCGCTCGGATCACCATTCGATGGCCATGCTCAGGAACAATGCGGAACCCAACAGGCGCATCCATCCCGCTACCGGGGACCCAGGCATGGCAAAAGCCATGGCGTCGGCAATCAATGTTTCAAGCAGTTTTCGCCTAGACTGCTTGTCCTTTTTGCCGTCAACCCCCTGCAGTGCTGAGAACTGCCTTCACGTCGACCTCATCCGGTCACGGCCCCGTGTCCACCGCGTCGAAGGGTGGACGGCGCTAATGCATCTGCGAAAATCTCTGAACGACGCAGAAGCATGCATGCATGTGCGGTGGGACGCGGCGCTGGACCTGGGGGGAATTCTGTTCAGGCTCCTCGGTGTTTGTTGTTCATGTGAACGTGGAGTTGAGGAAAGGCACAATTTACTTAAATCGCGTGCTTCCTCTGTTGTTTGATTTCCTCATTCCGCAACATCTTGTCAATCCTTCACGAACACTCTCCTTCGACAGCCTCGAGCCGGTCTCTGATCAGCATCATTCCTTTGCTGTAAGAACCTTTGTCATTGTCGACGTCAAACCTAACCCGGACCACTCCTTTTCGTCCAATTCGACCCGTCCAAGAGACCTTACTATCCTTACCCAGGTAGTTCCATCCTCCAACATGCAATTCAAGAACATCGTCGCTGGCGCAGCCGTGCTGCTTGCCTCTGCTTCAGGTGTCTCGGCCCTCGGATCCGCTACTGTTGTGAACAACTGCGGCTTCCCTGTCTACTACGCCTCTGTCGGCGGAAGTGCCAACCCCGGCATGCAGCAACTCCAGGGTAGCTACAGCGAGGGGTACAGCTCGCAAGGTACTGGTGTCTCGATCAAGCTTTCCCCCGAAGCCAGCACCTCGGGCCCCGTCTCACAATTCGAGTTCACTTGGGCCAACGGCAAGATCTCGTACGATCTGTCCAACATCAACGGCTACCCTTTCTCTGCTGGCGGCATGGAAGTCGTCCCTTCGATGCAGAACGACCCCAACAACCCGACATGCGTTCCCGTCACTTGCCCCGCCGGCGCATCTGTCTGCTCTGCCGCCTACAATCAGCCGGATGATGTCCGTACCATGGTCTGTGATGAGGACTCTAGCCTCGTCTTGACCCTCTGCCCTGGTGGGTCCGGCAAGCGAAGCATCGCCGACGCTGGGAGCGACATTATCTCCCGTGTCCATGCTCGACACTTCCCTAGCCAGGCCTAGACGACGCCTTTGACCGCCACACAAGCTCCAAGCATTATGCCGACTTGGCACGTTTTCCATCCCATTTTTACGCAGCTAGTTCTGCCGTCTCCGACTTTACGCTGCCTGCAAGACACTCGTTTCGTGTATACCCATGAGTCGACACATGGATATACCATCAACCCCGCAGGTTTTGCACCCGATCTCGACGATCATCACACTCTTTTTATCATCTTCTCAAACTCCCGGCGACAGGTCTCCCGTGGAACCATGGAAAACACCAAGTCGGCATCAATGCTTGGCTACGAACCTACACATCAAACACAAGACAAAACGACATTTAACGACAATGCGAAGCTGAAGGTCATGGCCATGACTGATGATTAGCAATGGTGAAGGAGGCAAACGGTGCAAAACGGAAGTGGATAGCCTTGGTCTCGATTTTCATTCCTTTCTTGAACGGCATCTGGTTTCCATCATCACAAGCCAGCATGACAAAATTATCGACATGTCTCTGGGGAACAGACTTGACGCCCAGGTGTCGGCACCCAGCCGGCGACCTGAGAATGTCAGACCCATTGCATGTGCAGATGGTGGGATGCAACAAGTCCCCTCTTTTATTCAATCTTGGAAATCCCAATGGGCAAACAGTAGATACTGCAGATCTACGAATGGGAAAGTACATGTTTTTCTCGATACATAGCTTTCACTTCTTGGATACCAGACCTAGGGCGTACATAGACCGAATTGATTTCTCACGAAAACAAAAATGCTGCTTGTCTTCTACACAGTAATCAGCTGCTCTTGCCTGCCAGCGAGTGAGCAATCTCCCGCCTCCGACCTGGGACTCACATCCAGCTGAAAACTCGCCCTGAACGCCTCCAACGTCATTGTTGTTTATTGTGTATGGAGTACGTGATCATAACACAGCCCTGCCGCTCTGTAAATTAGCCCAGTGCCCCCCTACGATACAGTATGGATCAATCCAGTAAGCAAGCTTCCTACCGCCTCGCCTAGCTAGCTACAGTAGGGCTAGCTTTCCTTTCCCCTGGGTCTCCTACTGTGACAAGGTACATCTGTAGTTAGTGCAAGTCCGGATCAATCAGCCCTAATTTGAGACTTTTGAAGTTGAACGCTGAGGGCGGGTGCTTGGGTGACCGACAGGCCACAAGTGACGAACAGTTGTGATTGACAAGTGCAAAGCTACTGTGTACGAGTACAGTAGCTAGCCGATTGATAGGCACGCACGCACAATCGATAGGCAGACACGCTGTTAGGCGGTAAAAGCTTGAACTTTTAGGCGGGCCCGGGCACCTTGCAAACGTGTGTCCGTGCGTGGCGAAAGGAATACTGTAGGGCTGATCGGCGGCCAACGTCAGCGTCAACGCCAGGGCTACACGCAGGGGAAGGGGGAGCGCTAACCTTCCCACCCGGTTGGAATGTGGCTTAAATTATCGGTGGCTTGCAAGCCCTGCAGGCCTGCCAGGCACATCCGAAGTCATGAAACCGGGCACCAGCGGGTGGCTTGCCTCACTTGCAAGGGAAGGAGAGCCGCGCGCGCGGGTACCTGCACCACCTGCGCTAAGGGGGTGTGATTGCTCTGAGGGGGCGGAAAGTGAAACTTGAAACATCAGGGCCAAGGTCAAGGTCATGGTCACGGGGAAGGGGAAGGGGAAGGGATGGCACGGATGGACAGAAGCAAGGGAGAGATGATGGGTTGCTCTCAGCCATCATGGTTTTTGTTTGTTGTTTGTTTACGGAGTATTGTTTCTTGGTTTGGTTTGCCTGTCGAGCGCCCCAGGCACCAGGGTCGAAGGGAAGTGTCCCGAAGCACCGACTTGCCGGACGTCCGTACGGGTCGTCGGGCACACATCATCGTGTACGGAGATGTGGAAATTATACACAGTATGTATTGGATGATGACGCTGTGAGGCTGAGAAGGCTGAGACATGGTGGGTGATGGTGGTGGCAGTGGGAGCTTCCTCTTTACGTACGCATTACTCTGTACCTAGGTACCTACCTACTTACAGTACGTACCTATTTCTCGCTTGTGGACCACTGCTGCTCGAGCCGGTGTCACTAAGTACGTACAAGTGATATGTACGCTTGACAAGCCCGATAAAGGTCGACCCGGACATCAACTTCACCAAGTTTCCGAACAGGATTACGCAATCGAGGCAAGCCTCGTCAATCCAATCTCGGTGCGAGACTCCGCGCGCGGCAAAGCGGTACGGACTGTCCTGTCTATATTTACTTTGGCGGCATTTGCATAGAAAGCATAACTACTTCTGAACTCCGTGAGTCTGATACTGTACTTACGGTAGACAGACAGAGACTCTCGTGCGGTATCCCGTAATTATTGCGGCCGCAACTGCAGTTGCTGCGCGAATGGCAGAGTCCACGCATGGAGCTTGCTTCAGTGCCTGTTTGTTCCGAGCTCCCCACCGACTGGGGTTGTCAAAGATGGCATAAGCCAAGGTTACGACAAAAGGGTGTCCGATGAGCGAAGTACTTTTCATCGCGACTTCTTATGTGCAAGGTCCCACGCCGCGGTTCTGGCCGGGTTATCAAGCATCACACGGTGATTGTGGTGGAGAGGGAGGCGGTACAAGAGTCCTCCACACCGGTTTGTTGCCGCAGAACGCGCTCTCCAGCCGAAGCAGCCGCCCAAGTATTGTGGGCATGGCACCATCCTTCGAAGGGGATGCGAATCCAACGAAAGGTCGCGACCAGATATGGTGCCAGTACCTTTCCACCACGCAAGGTGATTCTCGTTTGATTGTCCGTGCGTGTTATGGAGAATTCATGCTTTTGACATATGGATCAAGGGAAAATCAATCTCGAGCTTGTCCTTTGCTGTGCTGTGCTCAAGATACCCTGTTCAAGTCCGAACTGAGGGTTCTAGGAGGAAGGCTGCCTGGTCTAGCGGGATGGCGTTCGCATGGCTTGTATTGATGCCTCAGTCGAGTCCAGCGACCGGAAAGCAGCCTTTGTCGTCCTGGTGCACAGATTCGGACCAGAAATGATCATGGGAAGTACGGCGCGTTGTATCAAACCCAGAGAATCCGCTCCGGCGGAACATGTTCCATGATGTTTCAGACATCAACTCCGCAGAGAGTTGGATGCAGCGGACATGATCGACTTGCCCGGTTGCTGGTTGGGTGTATGCGGCTGTGTGAGATGACTCGGTATCGAAGGCTCAGCTAGGCCTTATAGCCGCGAAGATGTCTTTCAACCTTGCTCCCTCCTAGAGCAAGGGCACCGAGCGCTTTGATCCCAGCTATCTTCGGTATCAACGAGCAATCTCACGGCTCGGCTTGGAAGAAGAAGAGGTTCTGTCGAGGGGTGCATCTTGCAGAGTCGAGATCGGCACCAGTCTGAACACGCTTGCTCCGGATGGCTGAAAGTTGCTCCCCAAGAAGACTGACATCACGCTGCCACGCAAGACCAGAACAGGCTGTATCAATGCGGAAGAGCAGTCCCTGTGTATATACTTTCAGTTCGTCAGCGGTGTTCTGCTGGCTGCCCTCTGGCAAGCATCCGACCGAGGACAAAGGTCTTCGCACACAGTACAGTACCTGGGCTAGGTCGAGACCGCTGAGCACGCACAAGCGCAAGCTTAAAATACCAAATACTTCGTCTGGTCAGGTCAGTTCTCCTCTCGCTGTACTCTCCGTTGCAGCTGCGGTGTCAGTCGGACGAGGCGAGTCAACCCTTCTACCACAAAACGACCGTCACTAACTTGTGGGACTTGAGGTTCCAGGCTCGGGTCTAGCCTGGGACGAGGAACGCAAGGACATCTCTCTTGTCGGTTCGTACTCCGGATGCTTCAATGCTGGTGTCATGACTGGCGGAAGGGCGTTGCTCGTCATACGCCGTACACAGGGTCGAGTTCACGGTGCAGTGACATGACTGCAATTATCAGACCTGCATAAACCACCTCGGGCTGCTGTTCGGCCACCTCTGAGGTCCAATGGTGCTCACGAAAATCGAGGGTTTCTGGGCAGAGCGCATTTGAGTAGATGGAGTAGAGGAGGTAGGGTAGAAATGAGGATCTGGCTCTTGCCTACCGTGCAGAGCTGAAGCTCTTTGTCGCCTTCATCTCACTGCCGCAGTAGTGACGGAACCCTCGGCCTTCGGCAGCGTAAGCATGCACTTTGATCTGATCTGTTCGATCGGCGGAGAACCATGTGTAATGCAGAAGTAAATATGTATTGTGAACAGAGTCCAGGGTACCACAGAACGTAGCAACCTCGATTCAAAGGTGCAGCCACCGAGGCTGCGATCATGATTGGCCAGCTGATTCGGTGCCTGCCCACCGTTCGCCACAAGGCAAGGCTGCAATGCAAGGCTGCAAGGCTGCGAGGCTGCGGGGCTTTTTTATTTTCGACGCTACGCCATACCATCCACCGCCGCCATTTGAAATCATACCAACTTCCTTCCAGACACATCAACATCCACCTCTCCAGATACTCACTCACGCACACAATTCCACGGACGCTCACGCCGACTCGGTCATCCACCTTCTCTCGCCCAGTCCCTCCTCCAGACAGCTACACCGATCCCGAACAGATACCACACGCACCACCATCAACCCCACTCCACCACAATCACAACCGTCCTCTCAAACCACCATGTCCTCCCAATCCTACCACCTCCCGACGCAGGGTTCAGGCTTCGCGACCGGCGCAGCGGCCGGCGAGGGCGCGTCCGGCCCACTCGTCTCGTACGTCTGCGGCGACTGCGCTTCCAAGGTGCAGTTGTCCAAGGGGGATATCATCCGGTGTCATATGTGCGGGCATCGGGTTCTTTATAAGGAGCGGACGAAGAGGTAAAACAACACTCATCCTTACACTCCTCCCTACCTTTACATTGTTTGGTCGCGTATCTCCACCGACGGACACACAGAGGAGATATGCTGATTGCTAATTGACGATCATGATAGGATGGTGCAGTTTGAGGCGCGATGATGGGTGCGATTGTGCGAGTTTTCGATGGGACGGGATAGGATGGGATGGGATGGGATTCGATTCCTCAAGTCTGGTGGTATCTTGCGGTACGGGTGGCGCGCCTGCCCCCTTCTCGCTGGGTTGGTCTTCTTGCCGCACGGTATGAAGCGCCATGAGACGCCACGAGACGCCGTGATAGGCATGATATTCTAGGGTGGGATGGTTGGGTCAGTTCTGCGTAACTGGGCGATTGGTGTTGCGGAGTCACATTTCTAAAACACAGGCATACCGGACGTGCGAAGCCCATGCGAGCATACGATTCTGGAGATACCGCAGCTGGAATCATGAACCATGATCAAACAAAGTACTTTTGGACCGGCCGCCTGTGTGTGTGTCTATGTCCGTTCTCTACGTCTACGTCTACATCCGGTGTACTCACCTGTTGGTGAATGCTATGAATTTTTCAAACTCCTCGAGCGCCCTCCCGCTTTCTATACACCATCTAGCCTTTTTGACGCCTTCCTTCCATCTCATCCCACCGGGGCCAGTCTCGGTAATGACCTCGCCGCTCTCACAGACGTCTGCGTCGCAAGCACCGCTGACCACCAGCAGCGCCGCCACGTTCATCAGCACGAAATGCAAGATGGGGTCATCCCGCGGCCGCTCGTTGCGGAGGATGCTCATCAACACGGCGGCGTTCTGTTTGGGCAACCCGCCACCCCCGACCTGGGACAGCGGATGCGAGGGCAGGCCGAACGCGGCCGGACTGAGAGTGAACGTCTCCAACTGGGGAATATACCTCGGGGGCGCCTCGTCGTCGCTTGTTTCATCGTCGTCTTCTCCTACTACCTGCGGCCCACCGATGTTGTAGTCCGGGTTCTCCACCTCGCGCAGTAGCCAGCAGTTCGTGGCGCCCGCGCAGCTGATCTCGTCGAGGTCTTCCTTCCCACAGACGACCATGGCCTTGGTGACGCCCGTCATCTGCAGCGCCTGCGTGAACACGGGGCCCAGCTCCTGATATGCAACTCCTACGACCCTCGCTTCGATGTGGTCTTCCACGGGATTAGCCAGCGGGCCCATCAGGTTGAAGATCGTGCGGAGGCCCAGTTCCCGCCGCACGGTCGCCGCGTATTTCATGCCGGGGTGGAAATTGGGCGCGTACAGGAACGCGTAGTTTGTGTGCTCGTACACCTCCGGTAGGCGGTCGGCGGTCAGACTCTCGATTTTGGGGGCAGTCGGCGAGATGGCGGTGAGCACGTCCGCCGAGCCCGACATGGACGTCTGCGCCCTGTTGCCGTGCTTGGCCATCCGCAGGATCGGACTGGCGACGATGGACGCCGTGGTCGAGATGTTGAACGTCGAGTGCGAGTCGCCGCCCGTGCCCACAATGTCGCATAGTCCGCCTCTATAGCTGCCCTGGGGCTTGGCCCTTTTCCGTACCACTTCGCGTAGTCTCCGCTTGTCCGCCTGCACGGCCGCGTCGCGCATGGCTTGCGCACATCGTGCGACCACGTCCGGGTGTCTGTCTTTGCCGGTCGAGTGTAAGAGGGTCAGGAGCGCGGCTAGCTGTGTGGGGTTGAGCTCGTTTTCGAAGGTGCGTGAAAAGGCCAGGGCAATGTCCTCGGCTTTGACCGTGTTGTCTCGTGGCGGAGGGTTGGAGAGGAGCTTGAGGAGGGGTGCGATCGAGACGTATTTCGGCGGCGGAGAGGTCATGATGAGGAGGAGCGAGATGAAGGAGCCGAGAGGAAGAACCTGCGTTCTCGTCTCTTCGAGGTGGGAGACTGCTGTTGCAGAGATGCTGCGGTCTTTGAAATTACTTCCTCTGAGTCATGCAAGCGATTTGTGCAGCGCCATGGGAGAGGAGGGGCACGAGGTCCAATGCTGCGGGCGCTATTGACTTAGCGGACGCTTAATTAGCTTTCGGCGCCTAGGAGACGCGGAACCCGAGCCCCGCTCGGCCCTGGGGAGGCGTTGAGCCTTGGCCTCGAGGTGCTGTGCATATCAAAACACTCGTACATACCTGCTGCGTACTGCATACACCTGTTTGTTGCCGCCCACACAAGGAACAACACCTGTTGAGCTTTCACCCGTCTTGCTGCCTCTGCTACGTACCGTGCTAACCTTACACGCGGGAGTTACAATCACCTCGTAGGCGCCCGTAAAAGGTCTTCAGCGTTTGCAGAGAATTGACCGGTCCAGATAATCCTGCCATCTGCTCTAACATTTGCCAACGGCTGGTGGTCAAGTGACTCGGGACCGAGCCATCGCATCTCCATTGCCATCAGCTAGGCGGAGTGCAAAATCAACTCTCTTTGTGTGCTCGATCAAGCCCCTCTGTACGACTAACAGCTCGATGGCATCTTCCTGCAGGATTGCACCGAGTACCACGGATTCGCTATTCATAGCTATATTCTCGCCACGGCGGAATCAGAACGAAACAGTGGCTACAAAACCCATTGCAGGCGCGCCATATAGCCATCGTGGTGGCCTAGTCCAGGTCTTGTCCTCTGGACATCTCGCCTTTCAGGCTGGAAACAGACTTAGGGACTGTCTGTTTGCCTGGCGCCATGATCTCAGCTGTCTTTCTCTGCAGGACCCCTAACCCTTCATACCCTTGACGAATCACCGTAGCAGACATAGCGACACTGCCGCTCTGTCGTGTCATAGAAGGCTATAGCCCTCACCGTCGTGGGCATCACCTAGCACACGAATCCGGGCTTTTCTCCGCTAATCTGGTCTCGCCGCAGCCAACGTTGGCGAGCCTGCAACACGTCCTACTGCCCGAGTAACGCTCAGCAGTCCCAGGAGCGAGAGGCCACGACGACATGGATCCGGTCTCTGCAGCAGGGTTGGGCCTTGGTATCACATCTCTAGCTTTCCAATTTTTAGGAGGATGCATCAAGGGCTACGAGATGTACCTCAGCATAGCCGAAATGCCTGTCAAGTTTGAACATCTGTGACTACGGATGCGGCTGGAGCAAAGCCGACTCCTCAACTGGGGTGAGAAAGTCGGCATCTTAGAAGAGACCCTGCAACAGCCAAGTCTTACGCTGCAGCTGCATCGGAACATCATTACCGACATCCTCATAGACATCTAGCGGTTGCTCAAAGACTGTTTGAAGATCGACGCTCAATTTGGTCGTGTCGGACATCTCAGCGCCCACGAACCGCTTGTCCGTGCCGGCTCAGCTATGTTGCATTCTCCTGGAGGAAATCCTCTCGTGGCAAAAGCAATGAAGGCTTGGGAGAAGACTGCCCAGATACCTGCGAGGCTGCAATGGGGTCTCGTGAAGCATGACAAGTCCGAGCAACTGCTTAAGAAACTCATCAGTTACAACGATGCGATGGTGTCTTTGCTGGACCGAGCAATGATCCAGCAATTGTACGATATGCAAGCACAGTCGCATTTGGTGATGTTACAGCTCAGCAGCCAGATCGATGATCTGAAAAGACTCGCTCAGGCGAAGCAGATCCAGACGCAAGACAGGACTCCCATGTTCCCAACCATCAGCTTCAACGACCTGTCCGGAATGTCCAAGAATCAATCGGCTGGGGGACCAGTATTGCAAGGCTTACTAGTTTCAAAGCTGAGCAAGTAACCCTTGAACTAGATTCTACCCGTGCGAGTGTTGGGGTTATTGACCGGAAGCTGATTACGCTCACCACCGCCATGAAGACAAGATCCATGGCAGTCTATAAGGAGGAAATCGTCTGGACTGAGTGGAAACCGTATGATCCTGAACAGCAGTTCTCGTCGTGGTCACAGCAGGTGGAAGACCGCGTCAGCAAGCTTGCAGTCCTGCTCGGTCTGAAAGACACCCCTGCGGAGTTCAGCGCGCCTCGTTGCCTTGGCTATTTCCATGATGAAGAGGACGATGAAGCGAGATTCGGACTTGTCTACAGAAAACCCGAAGGATATCCGGACTCAAAGCCAGTCGCGCTGCTGGACCTATTCCGGCAGGCCAAAAAGCCATCGCTGACTCAAAGAATCAGACTAGCACACAACCTCTCGGAGAGCGTGATGTACCTCCATTCGATCAACTGGCTTCATAAGGGCATACGCAGCGAGAACATCATCTTCTTTCCGCCATCTGGGCAGGTGGCTGATTACGGTAATTACTCCGACAATATCAGGCTTCGATTATGCGAGACCAGATCTTCCGGAGGAAATTACGGAGAAACCAGCTGAGACTTTCGAGAGCGACATGTATCGCATCCAGATGCTCTGGGTCAGTCCACAACACGCTCGAAGAAGACGTGGGACATCTATAGCCAGGGTGTCGTCTTGGTCGAGATCGCTTTCTGGCGATCAATTGAGGACATACTTGACGTTCATGCCAACCAGAAGAATGCCTGGTCCAGACTCAGAAAAGCCATGGATTTCCTGCTAGAAGATCAATTCCTCGACAGCATCGAAGCCCAGGTTGGTGAGCGGTATAAGGATTGTGGGCATCGATGTATCAGAGGAGGAGCTGACCTTGCAATTCGGTGGGCGCCAATGAAGCCGACTCGGAAGTCGGAGCTGGAATGCTGCAAGCGTTCTCTCAACACGTAGTGAAGAGGCTCGAAAGTATCGAAGTCTGACGACGGATGATGATTGCAGCAAGCATGCGGAGGAGATCAGGATCCGGTGGGAGCTTTTTGTCAGACATCCCGCTCTTGTCGGCTGCAATTCTTGATCAGACTGTCAAGGCTCCCAAGCGTTCGCCATAGCCAGACTGAGGTTGATGGGAGACGAACAAAACCAAATCCCGCCGGAAAGAGCAAGCTTGGCCATCAGAGATGCCTCCTTCCACGGCAAGCGCGTAAAGACCGGACTTTACGTCATCCATCAAAGGGCAGATCCTCCAAGTCGACACCTGAGACACAACGGTCCAGTAAGCATTCTCGACGATGCTTCGCTGCACGGGAAGCTTCATGTTTTAGCCTCCAGTCGAAGTGTTTCTCGATACTTGTGTCTTCGCTCTGATTGACCACGGTGCTAAAAGACTGTACTGCTGGCGCTGTGACGATTTCACCTGTATGAAAGCCGTGTCTCCAACCGCATGTCCGATTTATACACTGCGAAGCTAGCGCGTTTGCCGAAGATGCCAACGTCAAGGATACTCGTGTATCATCGTCGGAGTTTGTCGTACGGGGGATGTGCTTCCGGTCCCCGCCCATCCCTGCAAGCATTTCCAGTTCGGAGTGAGTAACTGCACCAAGCTGTGACAAAGTTGAAACAATGCGGGAAGGGGTGATACAAAGGCTGTCATAGTTGACCCTTTGGAAGCCAATGGAAGCAGGGATATTGTACTCGCGTGACGGAAGAATGTTGAACTTAAGAAAAGAAGTTTCGAGTTTGGAAGGCAGGAAAACCTCGGGATCAGCGAGGTCCCCGAGGGTGTCCAGCGCTTGCATGCTATCGTGGTACTTGTCCTGTCTGCTGCAGCGACGATGCTCGATCAGCGGCTGGACATCTTGAAGATGCGCGAGCATGATGGGGAGTAAGAGGTTTAATCCGTTGGGATTTAGGTGCGTCCCCATGTGAAGGTCTTTGATGGAGATCGCGATATGTGCTATCTCGTCTGCCGCATCGTGGAGTTTCTCCCTAGACAACTGCCGATAGGTCGTCGACAAGGTGGAGGTAGTGTTCAGAGCTTGTGGGCGATGAAGAGCTATTAGGGCGGCGAGGAACAGTAACTTCAGATGTGCCCGGTGCATGAGTGTGGCATCCAATTTACCAGTAGTCGCCGAGTTCGCTGGGTCTCGCAAGTCGAACCCACCATTGCCAGAAACATCGTAATGCCACTCTCGTAGTTGGCGGTCCAGCTCAAGAATCTCGAAAGGGCTGGAATGAGAGTGCATGGGGACGAGTATCGTCGTCATGTTATCGCAGTTCTCATACCGCAAGGTTTTATATCGTGCCTGTAGGATCTGGTTGATGCACACACAAAGCTTCGCTTTCGCTATACACAGGATGGCCAAATGAATCCTGGTCGTCCTGTTGCTAAGGAAGTCCCATTCGTGTCGCCCGTTTGTAGCAGCCGCAGACCCATCTTGAAGCTCAAAATCTGACAGCTCGAGCATGGGCAGATGACGATGACGAGCGCCAAGCTGTGGAGGAGTCCACATCATGAGGGCCACGAATTGATCTCTCATGAAACAACACCACCATAACCTCTTGAGCATTCGTTGTCGCCTTGTCTCACAAGAGGCAAGCTTCATATCCAGTCCAAGGTCTTGGCCTAGGGTTACAGCCATACGGATCCAAAATGTTCTGTCTTTCTGGGTCTCCCGGCCACCGTACCAGTATGTCATAAGCAAGAAGGCTTGAATCAACGATATTCTATCCAGCTCGCAATCGAAGTCGTACAGTAACTTTTGAGATCAGCAAATTTCCTGAGCCGACATGAAGGACCTACTCGTGCGCGTTCAAAAAATGCACTGCGGGCAGCTTTCCTTGAATTGAAGCCCGCCGCTTTCAAGACCTCCATGTCGACGTGCCCAGCGCCTGCACACATGACTGCGTAGAAGAGCAACAAGCTGATTTTGTCCTTTGGGTCATTCTCCAAGATCGGGACAATGAAGGTGTCGACATCAAGTAGTGGCAACAATGGATACACACAGAGGAAGTAGCTGCGCGAGACTTCACTGCGACATTCAGCACTGGGAATGTCGAACACGCCTTTATGCTGTAAGAAGTTTAGGTCCTCAGGCGACAGAGTGGTGGGCAAGGGATTGAACAAGCTTGGAAGACTGGGCTGGAACACTGCACTGAAGCGGGTGCTGCTCTGCGGCGAAATGGACGCGATATTGGAAGACCTAGATTTTGCCGGGCGACGCCTCTCCGACCGCTGATGCTTACTCCTGCCAGGCAGGCATTCAACCCCGTCGAGAAGACAGTTGGTGCAAGATGAGCTGAAGGTCTTTCTATCGCATCTCGACTTTCTGCACTGACAATGCCTGCATGCTTGTGTCCTCCTTTGGAAGGCAAGTGTAGATGACTCGGGTTGAGGTGGACAAGCTAGCATCTTGGGCTGCCCTCGGCTGCGGGAACAACATTCGGTTGTTGGTTCTCAGCACCAATCTGGTCGGTTATCTTCTAGAAGCACTTCAAGCAGCGAGCGGAAAGTAGTGCCGTCGATTGTCAATAGTAGAGACGACCAAGCAGTTGGCAAGAGAGGTAAGTGAAGCAGAGGTGAAGCGGAGGCAGAGAAGGTCTCCACCACATCGGCCGAGGTACGGAATTACCCGGGTATTTTCGGCCTCAGCCGCTGCTGCTGTCCAATATTTGTGATCCTCCGTAGGGCTGGTGCTTGCACTACTGCGAAGCATATCCGCCGATCTTTGGTGATCTTGGCAGTCCGTTCTCCAAGGTCTAGGTAGCAAACCTAATTAATCAGGTTACGGATCTTGAGTCTCAGTCCCATCTCATCCATCAGACTCCGGGTCGTGGAGGTGTGAACAACGAAGTGAGTAGTAATTACCTGTCTGTGCTAGCCACCATTGGATCAAGCGCTAGCTCTCGGCTAAATTCGGCATTGTTCTCTTGGAATTCTTCATCCCCATCTGCCATTGCTTGTGAGATAGCAGCCTTCTCATGTCCGAATCTAGCCGCCAATGTTCTCATCCGCCTTCAAGTCATTCACATCAAATATCACGTCAAATTATGAACTGTCCAAACAGCCCTCTGCCACGGCTGGCGTCTGGACCATATTCGATGCCAAGAAGAAGAATACCGGCGCCCAAGTCTCGGTGTTCATTTTTGACAGAAAGTCTCTCGATATCACCAGCAGCGGGTTTGGAGCACGTGCTACTAGTGCCGCCTCGGTGCGCAAGGTCCAGGATGAGGTGATCGAGAGACTGAAAAAAGAAGCCAGCAGTCTGGCTCGGCTGCGTCACCCTTCGATCTTGCAACTGGTAGAGCCCGTCGAGGAGACTCGCAGCGGTGGGTTGATGTTTGCGACAGAGCCTGTTTTGTGCTCCTTAGCTGCAGCGCTGGCACAAAAAGACAGAACTGGTGGCCAACCTGACAGAGGCATCTCGAGATCCGCGTCTAATGATGGCACCGTTTCGAGAGCATTACAAGACATAGACATGGATGAGTTGGAGATCCAGAAAGGTTTGCTCCAGGTGGCTAAAGGATTGGAGTTCCTCCACGATTCTGCCAAGCTTGTTCATGGAAACTTGAACCCAGATGCCATCATAATCAATGCGAAATCGGACTGGAAAATCTCAGGGCTTGGTTTTGCAGGACCGCCCGATGGAGCCGAAGGACATCAGCCTGTTCCGCAAATCCCGCTTTCCGAGGTCCTGTATCATGATTCTCGAATACCACGATCTGTGCAGTTGGACCTCGATTATACCTCGCCCGATTTCGTGCTCGACACTAACATCAATGTCTTGGCCGATATATTCTCCTTAGGCATGGTTGTCTTAGCATGCTACAGACATCCGCACAGATCGCCTATTGAAACTCATGGAAATCAGTCGACGTATAAGAAGATCTTCAGCAATGCTTCAACTGTGCCTACCAGTGCCAACAATTTCCTTTCAGAAGATGCTTTACCGCGCGAGCTCAATGTTACACTTCCCAGGATGTTGACCAGGCGGCCGGCGCAGCGAATGACAGCAACCGAATTCCAACAGTCGCAGTATTTTGATAATATCTTGGTGAACACCATACGGTTCCTGGACGCCTTCCCAGCGAAGACTCCGGCCGAGAAGACACAATTTATGAAAGGCCTCGGTCGAGTGATGCCTCAATTTCCGCCTTCGGTACTGGGTAAGAAGATACTTGGTGTGCTGCTTGATGAGATGAAGGACCGCGAGCTCTTGCCCTTGATAATGCAGAACATCTTCCATATCGTCAAAATCATCCCTTCCAGCAAGGAAATCATGGCGGACAAGGTGCTCCCGAGGATGCGAGACATATTCTTGGCGAAATCCAAGTCTGAAGATAGGGATAGTAGCAAGGAAGCCGCTCTATTGTCGACGCTCAGCAACGTCCAGCTTATCGCCGACAATTGCTTGGCAAAGCAGTTCAAGGACGACCTGTTGCCGATAGTCTTTATGGCGATGGAGTCTTCCACGCATTCCTTGACCGATGCTGCCCTCCAAACGCTACCGATCATTCTGCCATTGCTTGATTTCTCAACAGTGAAGCATGACGTCTTCCCCGTGGTTGCTAGCGTCTTCAGTAAGACGAACAGTTTGAGCATCAAAATTCGTGGCCTTGAAGCATTGGGCGTGCTGTGCGGAGTATCGACGGCTCGAATTGAGAATGACATGGATGATTATTCTGGCAAGCTCGAGCCAGAAAGGCAGGGCAAGAATGTCTCAAGCCTCGACAAATTTACGATGCAGGAGAGAGTGGTCCCACTCTTGAAGGCCATCAAGACCAAGGAGCCGGCAGTGATGATGGCCGCTCTGAAGGTTTTCCGCCAGATTGGCACTGTCGCAGACACGGAATTCTTGGCCCTTGATGTCTTGCCCATCCTCTGGAATTTCAGCCTGGGTCCTCTGCTCGACCTTAACCAGTTCAAGTCATTCATGGATGTCATCAAGGCACTATCGGCGAAGATCGAACGAGAACAACTTCGTAAATTGCAAGAACTCTCCTCGAGCAGAGCATCTGAGCCCAAGGGGAAGTCTACATTGCCGTTCGCGCCGACTAATGGAACAACAGAGGGGAATCAGCTCGGTAGCACGGAAGACGACTTCGAGAAGCTCGTGCTTGGAAGTAAGAACGCTGACAAGATTGATGTCTTCGCAGGCGTTCTCTCCGAAGGGCAAAAACTTACTCAGAACCCACCCTCCTTCTCATGGGCTCCAGCAAACGCCACGAACGCGAAGATGGCGTCTAATCAAACAACATCGTCTCTGCCTTTTCTGCAGCCGCAACCAATGTCTCGATCAATCACACCGGACGTCGGCGTTTCGGCGTTTTCCAGTCTCCAACCTCTGCAGCCATCAACAGCCTCTGTCTGGGGAGTTCACTCACACTCGCCCGTGTCTGTTCAAAGCCAGCAGCAGGCGAAGCATCCTACGAACTACCTTTCCAACCCTCCAAGCTCGATGTCTCCGCCAGCGGTCTCATCAAATCCGACCTGGCAGCTTCCACCGCCGCCAGGCCCCCAACAGTCGCCGAACTCAGTGCTCACACCTAGTATAGCCCCGCCCCCTGGAGTGAGCACACAGGCAAGTGTCTGGCCGCGGCCGGGGTACAATAACGTTGGAATGTCCTCGCAGCCCGGCACTGGTTTTAGTGGCTTCGGCGGATCGATGAACGTACTGCAACCTCAACAGCCGCTGTCTCAGCAAAAGAAAACCGGTCTAGACAAATATGAATCGCTTCTTTGAGGCGCGGCATTCACTGGGGCTGGATCGCTGACAATATCTTCGTGCTTTCAGTAAGCTGGTGGCTATGACTGTTTGTGGTAGCAAGACTACAGGGAACGTACTCGAAGCTACATAGGATCGGCCATTATCGTCGATGATTGAGGTCTTTTCCGATATCAAGCATTTGGGCATCTGATTGGCAAAGAATCAAGCACAAAGGATTGGATTACCAAATCATGCCTTGGCCCACCAACGGCACGACTCACCTGTAGATGCACAGGACGATGCCGCGTGGAGGACTCGGCAGATTGTTCCTGAAAAGAATCTTACCAATGGCTTCACTTCCGGGACACTTTCTGGTGCTCTCAGTCTAAACCCGGGCAGCCTACGGGTTCCTAGAAGCTTTTTGGGGGCGCCGATCGAAGGGCTTGACTTCTAGCCAAGTGCAAGGCTTACCGCGAGCCAATGGTTTGGGCACGATGTTTCGTTTGCCATCGGGGTTAACCAGATCCGGCAGCTCAATCAATACTCACCACTTCGATGCCACCAGAAGCATTCCACCCACGTGTTCAGCCAGATGCGACTTTACATCATGATAGACGTTGACGGCTTGGTCGTTGGCAAGCTTCGTCGGCTGCGGCCTATTGCTGCACCTCTAACTTGATTCCTACACAGTTGGAGAGGAAGCTTCCCGACCACCCGTTGGATTTATGCAGCCCTATATATTGCCGGGAGCTCGCCAGTCTGGGAGCTTCAAACACGCTCTGCAGGCTTTTGCTCCATTGTAGCTCAACCACCTCATTGTCTCGTCGACCGACAAAGCCATGAAGTTTTCACTTCTTTCCGCCGCGGTCGCCGCTTCAGCCTTTATTGGCACATCGTCCGCCATCTCCATCCTCTTGGGTAACGACGATGGGTTTGGAAGTGCCCAGGTCCGAGAGTTCTATCGCTTGTTGAAGGAGAGCGGGCATCAGGTCATCATGGTGGCACCAGCCGACAACCAGAGCGGCATGGGTGGCCGATCAGTCGTAAGTTCTCCTTGTTCCCAGGGCTTTGTCGCGTGAAGCCTGTAGTTTGTCCAAAGCAGGGCCCATATCAGCCCTACTCTCTCTTTGTCTGGTTTTGACTCGTCTACAGTTCACCAGCAACAAGTCGCTCGCTGTCAACTCAGAGTTCAACCTCATCCCGGCTGGAGCACCCTCAATCGGCCGCGATCCTAATGACCCTGATATCTGGTACTACAATGGAACACCAGCTGCCGTCACCTATGTCTCTCTCGACTATGTCATTCCCAACTTCTATGGCAACCGATCCATCGACTTGTATGTCGGAGGACCAAACTTCGGCCTAAATCAAGGATACTTTTATTACACGCTCTCCGGAACGATCGGTGCGCGAGACCTTCTTCTGTGTCTAGATTTGGACACACCGCGCTAACATGCGATCACAGCCGGCACCTACGCTGCAATCCAACGCAACCTGCCCGGCATCGCCTTCTCGGGTGCCAACAGTGAGCAGCGCTCCTACACGTGGATCAACAAGACCACGACCTCGGGCTATCCCGACCCGGCCACCATTCAAGCGCAACTGGCCACCAACCTGGTCAACCAGCTCGTTAACGCCACTCGTGGGAAGGACCGCATTCTGCCTCTGGGCTATGGCCTCAAGTAAGTCTCTCCTGAGCTGGGGTAATGCCTCGCATGTGCGTGGCGCCACAAAGCACACTTACACGATGCAGTGTCAACACCCCGTTTATCACTTCCTTGACCAACGCCTCCTGCGTCAACCCGCCGTTCATCCAGACCCGGCTGGGCGGCGGCGGCACGACCGACAAGGCCGTATGGAACGCCACGTCCGGCATCTTCTCGTACCAGAACCTGATCACGGAAGGTAACAACGTGTGCATCAACGGCAACTGCGCCTTGCCCGGCGAGACTCCCATCGTCGACAACGGCTGCTTCGGTGCCGTTTCGGTCTTCACGATCGACACGGATGCGCCGCTGGGTGCCGCGCAAGACTCGGTCCGAGCAGCACTGCAGCCGTTAGTGGCATATGAAAACCCGGACGCCAAGATGATGCTGAAGGTCCGGGAGACCGAGAGCAGTGAGTAACCGGAACAATCGAGGGCCGAGCCGTGGTGTCTGACCGATAACTAACGATTTCACAGGAGAAGCTGCTGCTGCGAGACATCCTCTGCGGGAAGCTTAGGTTTGCTTCGTGGGTATAGAGGATGAGGACGAGACGATGATAATGCATGCGTAGTTTGCCAGATAGGGGCATAAAATACGCGTTCGATTGCCGCAACAAAGACACGGACGCAGCTCGGGCACAACAGTGTAAATACGCCCCCAAAGATATTTAATGATCATACGGAAGACATCCAGCCAGGTCTTAGGTACCACAATTATGTATAATGGGCGAATGCAGACCTGGCGGACACGCAAAAGAGAGTCACACGCAAACCGACGCAAGCCAAGCAAGGGACGGAAGGGTGGTGTGGGTCCACGCCGGATCTCTTGCCCCAGCTTGGACATACCTTGATATCAAGCAGCTCGCGTGTACGGAGTAACACCTTTGAGATGGAGTCTTGTAGATGCACCAAGATCTATTCCAAGTGTCAGTTATAAGGAATCCGGAGCGTCACAACCCTATTCTCTCCTCCCGAAGGTATAGCGATATCGCCATCCCAGACTGCATGCCCATGTACCCCGTGGATAGGTCGGCGGGGATTCTAGATATACATCACGCTACAATTTCCCAGCTCGCAGCTCCGTACTACTGATCACGTATACTCACACGCACACACAACATACAAGGCTATACTCCGGACGGTCCAGTATGTCGTCGGCAGGGTCGTCAAAGGAAAGAGAAGGCCCCAGACTATGGCATTATGTACGTCCGTCCGTCAACCGCCCGTCCTTCCTCCTGTCTGGCCGGCATCCATGAAATATCACGTCACCCTGCCAGTCCACCAGAGAACTGATTGTGGTGTACGGACATCGGCGCCCATCTCAAACGCCGTGTGCATGTATGCTTTGGAGTCTGTGCTAAGATGTCATTTCGCTCGCAGGCCATGATCGACACGATGACCGAGGAAGCGTTTAAAGGCAATCCGACGCCCGTGTTCGTACTCGACGGGCGGCATCAAGGTGTCGATGAGGCCGAGTTCACAGAGTGGCCTGACGATCCGGTCTTGCAGGCCGTGGCAAGGGAGTTGAATCAGTCCGAGACGATTTTCGTGCGGCTGGATCATCCGGGCAAAGGCGACAAGTGCAATGGCACGCGAGACTCAGATCCAGGCAAAGATGCCTCCACGCGCTACTTGATCCGATCGTTCACGCCGTCCAAGGAGGAGCCGTTCTGCGGGCATGGGATCGTGGGAGCGGCGTATCTGCTTAGCTGTTCTGCGGAGGGCTACCCCTCTGGTATCCCGACCATGCGATTCCAGACCGTGGGAGGGATTGTGGTTGATGCGCAGGTGCGTCCCGAGGGAGAGGAGCATACCGCGAGAATTAACAATGTGGACCGACTCGACGTTGACCTACGTCGTGACTACGGTGTGGCGAGGACCATGCAGCTGGAGATCCCGGCCCAGCCTGTGGACCGGTGGTTCACAGAGGACCTGGATCTGCGGCGGAGGATCGCAACAGCGCTGGGTATTGAGTCGGCCCAAGTTCTAGCTCTCGGCAGGAACGCCTTGATGGACCTTGTCATCGAGCTCGGCGCGGACGTCGACTTCTCGGCGGGGAATATGGAAATCGATGCGGTGGCGTTGATGGAGGCTTCTCCTCCGGGAACGAGGAGTCAGATCATCACGAGCGCGGGTGCTAGGTATGGAGTGGATTTTGTGAAGCGCGTGTTTGCGTACGGGAGCGAAGGTACGTCCGTGATTGAGTATCAAATGCTGGATGCTGAAATGTTGAGCTCCACCGTCGCTGCCACTGCTAACACGATGCGTGCTGCAGATCAAGCAACAGGCTCGACGTATTGCGTCTTGATACCATATTGGGGTGCGGCGTTGCAGAAGTCGTCCATGAAGGTGAAGCAGGTCTCTGCGCGGACGGGTGGTGCGGAGGTGACGAACTCGGCGACGGGGGAGGGCTATGTGACGCTGTATGGGACTGGCGTTAAGGTCATGGAAGGTTGCACGTTAGTTCCTGGCTGTGCGCGTAAAAAGTAGGTGTCGAGGCTGGGTTGATGATGAAGTGCTGCAGGGTCTCGAGTTCGGCGGGGAAAGGCATTTAACGACGGTGATGCCGCCCTATGCTCACCCCAGCTGAGCGTGCAGGAGCTGCGCAAGATTACGAAGTACAGGCCTCTCACAACACAGTGAGAGTCTTGCAACTAGTAGACATACCATGTCGGGACCCCAGAAAATATGAGCCGGAAGAGTGAAGTCCTGATGTTGGGATCAGAGAACACTCAGACCTCACTTCAAACCAATTCATCACCGACACCGAGCACCTGTCTGCCTGTGTAGCCGCCCAGCGTACTCATTCCATTCGTCGACTGTGCAGAGCCCATGCTGTCTCAAACGGTGACAGACGCCATTCGCAGAGCAGATGAAATTCAGCCAAAGGTCCTGCCGTTTACGCGCTTGTCAACAATAACGCTTACATGTGGCCGACAGGGGCCGTTGGCACATAGTGTGGTCTTGTTTTGAGCACGCCACGTGAGGCTATCTAGATCTGGATCTCGCGGACTGCATCTCGCGTGTTCCTGCAGGGACTCAACGCCGCCGGAGCGGCCGCTTAGGGTTCAGCCACGTGGGTTCGCCCTCCTGTTCTGGCCAGCGCCACTTCTTCTACGCAAGCCACGCTTTACATTCTCGTTGGAAAAACCTCCTTTCCTTATTTCCACCACCCGCTACTCCCTATTCTCGAGACAACCAGACCCCGCTTCCAGCTCAATATGCTCGGAGCCGCCATGTTGACGCTTCCCTTCTCGATCAAAGGGGATTTGATGTGGGGATCAAATGCGTGGATCCGGTGTCGTGACGGACCGATGGCTTTGGCGGAGCTGGTACAGGTAGGCGACAAAGCGTACAGTAAAAGCTGGCTTTTCTGCTGTGCTCACCTTCGAGCTCTCTCCTTCAGGCCATCCCAACAATGCACTGATTCCTGAGTACTGACCTTCGTCCTTCATTTGTTCACAAAATAGCTGTCATGGGCTTGCTACACTTCACAGTCGCGCTAGCCCTTGCGGCGTCCGCTCATTCATTCAAGGTGCCGTCTCACGACGATACCACCACCACAGAGACCCTCACTAGATTTGTCTTTACGTGCCCTTGCGATACGACTACCTCGGTCAGTGTCGGCACCACGTATCCTACCTCGCCTGCTGAGCCATCTGGTGGGCACGGTTGGAATGATTGGGACGGTGCCGTTTCGCAGTCGTCGAGAGCCCTGACCGACACATCAAGTTCGCATTCTTACCCACACACCTGGTCGAAATCTTCGACATCTATTACCACCTTGCGGGATACGGCTACGGCAACTACTTCCGGATTGGCCTCCACCTCTCCTAGCTGGACCTCTACTTCTGCTCATCGATTTGAAAGAACGACTAGCATTTCGTGGTCCGAGTCGACGACATCAACTAGCTCCACCACATCACAGTCGACCTCCACGCATACCTCTATCACTTCGTCATCAGCAGCGCCGACCACATCGGCATCCCAATCCACGAGCTTGTCTACTACTTCTTCACCAGCAGCCACGACTACATCGAAGTCTTCCTCCACAAGCTCGTCTACTACTTCTTCGCTGACCGCCACAGCCACATCAGAGTCTACGTCCACGAGAACGTCCACTACTTCTTCACCAGCGACCACGACCACAGCTAGTAGTGGAGGTCCGATCCAGCCTGGCACACCCTTCCTGTGTACTGCAAACTTTGGAGGTAGACTTCGTCGACGAGATACCAAATATTTGACGATCGGAGATGGCGCTGGTGTTTTGGCCTCTGGGTGCAATCGGGCCGTGCAGTTGTCGTTGTCACCTGAAGGTGCACTGCGAAGGTATAGTGACGGACTTGTTCTCGGAGCTCCTCGAGCATTTGGACTGCAGCTCTTCGAATTCATCAACGGTATTAGCGGAGCGTCTTTGACGGACGGCTGGTCGATCAGTGACGATGGAAGCCTCTACCACCCTGACGTTTCGCTTTGCATGCGAGGTGGTGGAGTTATCTATGCAGCCTTCGCAGGGACGCTGTGCGACGGCACAGCATTCAGTCTTATTGCCACCACGGATGGCTGCCCTGTTTCTTCTGCAAGTACCACAATCTCAACCAGCACACCTACCAGCTCATCGCCTATTGTTGAGCCGAGCACCACGGATACGACTACACTTTCTAGCTCCGGCATGACAACAACGACGCAGGCGACATCCTCGATCTCTAGCTTGGGTGGCACAACAACTCTGGCAGCAACTTCTACCCTCACTACAACCACCACAAGCACGGTGCCCGATACGACTACTTCGTCGGAATGCTCAGTGGAGACCATCACGACTACGCTGAAGAAGCGAGGTGTTCTCGAGGTGCGGACAATCACAGTACCTGCTGCAGGGTGCTCATTACCAAGCTCGACGACGTCGGAATGCTCAGTGGAGACCATTACGACCACGCTGAAGAAGCGAGGTGTTCTCGAGGTGCGGACAATCACAGTACCTGCTGCAGGGTGCTCATTACCAAGCTCGACAACGACGACCGCTGATCACGAAACTGTTCCTAGCACGACGTCTGTTGATGAAGCACAGTCTAGCCCAACGACGTCAGTTTCTGATGCCAGTCAAACCAGCGCTACGAGCACGACGACCACGACCGCGACCACCCTAGACACCTCTTCTACCACTTCGTCCGCAGATCCGTCGAGTCCTACATTTGGTCAACCCTTCTCCATTCAGCTCAACTCCGCCGACCCCAACAAGCACAAGCGAGACATTTCGGTGGTTGGTTATGTCAATGGAGCACTAACGCGTGTAACCTCTGAAGCTGATGCTGTGTCCTTCGTCCTCACTTCCGATGGCGTGCTGATGATTTTCGGCACTGGGTTGGTCGTTGGCTTCAGTGGCAACCCAGGGACTTCTCCTTTGATGATCTATTCATCAGTGTCAGCAATGCCAACAACAATTATATGGTCATTCAGTGGTGGCGCTCTTGTCTTGCCGGGAGCTGGGTTCTGCGTTGGTGCCAACAACGTGATGTCCGTCAGTGTTGGTGGTGCGACGGACAGTGGCTGTGCTCCTGTTACTCCTGTGCCGAACACGGACCCAGCCACGTATAATACCGACGTCGCTAGTTCGATAACACCTTCACCTCAAACGACGACCTCCACGACTCTAGGTTCGACCTCCGCCACGGTTGATGCTACTTCTTCCACTAGCTCTTCCTTGTCGACCACTACAGCGTCAATTACTCCAGATCTGAGCTCAACCACTGTTGATGCTACTTCTATCATTGAATCATCCTCGTTGACCACCACGACTGTCACTACCAGCTCTACGAGTCTTACCACTATAGTCTACGTCTCAACCAGCAGTACCACCTCGTTTGACAGCACAACCTCTGAAGGGACGGCGACTACCAGCACAACCACCGCAACGAGGACCGAGGAGACAAGCGGCCCGAACTGCTCCATCCTACCATTGGAAGATCAGACAGCACCAGAAGGCACTCAATACACGCAATTCTTCTACAGCTGTCATGCTGCCATTCCTGCAACTCTCGGCACCACCAACTCCATAGCCACTGCAGGCGATGATGGCTACGACCGTGACCCCACTGCCTTCCTAAGGCAATGCGTGGCGAACGCGGAGCAGGTTGGCGCCTCTGTATGGACTTACTCTCAGTCATCAGTGGACTTCAAATTTCGCTGTGGCTTTTGGAACGGTCTAGTGGCAGACGAGGGCATTTTCGTCGACGACTCGACAGTTTTCACGATGAATGCCATGAGAGTGGTGGGTGATGGTGACGGTCCAAGCACCACAACTACTTCCTCTAGCTCCACGACGGCGACTTCGACGACCACTACCATTGGTGTCATGGCTACTGTGCCCGCAAGTGCACCAGTCTGCACACCTGATAGTAGCTACTTCGACCACGTACACTGCCCCGATGTGTACATCTACGACAGCGTTCAGGAATGCCAATGCTTCAATCGTGTACAAGGAGGACAGAACATGTGCGCTTACACTTTCTACTACGACAGACCGTGTATGTGGGATTCGGAGTGTGCTGCATATGGCGAATGGTCATACTGCCTGACCGCCTCATTCACTGGCACTGGTCCTCAGGGGTACTGCAGCGATAACGACAGCTCCAAAACTTGCCTTACTGGTGGCTACCAAGCGAATACTACCACGCCGTCAGCGATCTTTTCCACTCCCTCGGTCACAAGCTCGACCATGACCACGACTTCCAGCTCAGCAACCGCGACGGGAACATGCGCAGGCCTCTGCAGTACGAAATCAGTTTCGTCGGGTTCACATGTATGGTCACAGGTTGAGGCTGGATGCGTGGAGTACAACTTCGATTGGGTCTACACTAGGGCGACATTCTTCCCTGCTGGCCTGGCTGACTGCGAGGTCATTCAGTACTGTGCCAATTTCGTTGTGCAACAAGGTATGACAGCTTTTAGGACTTTCTGGGTCCCCACTGAAAATCAATGGCATTGCGACGCTGGTCTGGAAAACGATGAGACAGGCGACTACGAATACTCCCTTCCTCAAGGCAATTTTTACATGTACAACCTTGTTACTGCTTCGACTCCTTCCACAACGGCTGCGACTACGACCACCTCCAGTGTGACAAGCACAACATCACCTGCAAACTGCGTGGCAACTTCCGCCTCAGTCGGTGACATTTTGACAACCACAAATGGCAATTCCTGGGTCAACTTTTTCTCCTCTGGATGCGGATTGTCCTTGGACTGGCAGTCGTTGAATTTCAATAATCTCTATGTGTACCTCCGCACTGAGTACACGTACGAGGAGGCCTTGCTGGACTGCGCCTCCGTCGCCGACCGCGATGGCTCGCCAGTCTTCGAATTCGAGACTGATACCCGCAACAACAACCGATGGGTGTGCTGGACTCTGAACGACATCACCAATGATCCGGCACAGTTCCAGCCATATGGTGGCATTGCTGATGCGTACGGTTGGTACTTACCTAGCAGGATGCCTTCGCCAACGCCCACCCCAATCACCACTCCACCGTCCCCAGCGCCTACCTGTATTAATGGGGCAATCGTCACCGACACCAATGGAGACACATGGGAGACTCTTTGTGGCCAGGGCAGCTATTACGGATGGACCTTCTTCTCCAGCTATTCTGATGTGGCAACTCTAGCTGACTGCATTGTTAAATGCAACGAAGACGACTCGTGCAATGCTGTCTCGATCGAATACAGAGATGCTCCAACCAACAACCTATGTGGTTTCATCTACATGTCGACCGAATTCCAGCCTTACGATTTCGAGGCGGACACAGCCATCAAGATTTCAGGAGCCAATGCCAGATCGCCAATCAACGTCCCTGGCTCTTCGACATCAGAGACGACATCGGTTATAACTTTCAGCACGACCACGGCCTCAACCACCTCGACCACTACACCGCCACCTTCATGCGCACCATCTGCGATTGGGGATGTCACCGCTCTCTACGATAGGACTCAGACTTTCCGCAACTTCTACACTGGTTGTGGCAAGTCGATGGAGGGTGGGACAGATGGTGGACTGGGGATCTTCCCCAGCAAGTTCGCTACTATGTGGCGTGCATCGGCAAATTGGGAGGACTACACTTTCGACAACGCCGTAAGCCGGTGTGTTCAATTCGCCATTGACAATGGCGCCAATGCAGTTGAGTTCTACGTCGACGCAAATCAGAATTGGATCTGCGTGGGTGTCGACGATGTGACTGTTGATGTGTCCTCCTTCTACCCTGACTCCAACGTGGCCAATGTTTGGGGCTTCGTCTGGGAGAACTCGTGCCAGAACGCACCACTCAATGACATTACCGCAACAGATGGAACGATCTTTGCAGAATTCTACACGGGCTGCAGCGCGTCCTTGCAGGGCAATACACCTGGTGGCCTCGTCAACCTCAATCGCGTCGTGTCAGCGAACTGGCAAGCTCCCGGCTACTCCGGCTACACGTTCGATGAGGCTGTCCAAAATTGTGCCGACACTACGATTTCGCAAGGAGGCAACCTGTTCGAGTTCTACATTGGCACGGACGATTGGTGGTACTGCATTGCGGTGAACGACCTGCCTGCCACGACCGCCAGTTTCTATCCCGACGCGACTATCGGCAAGGTCTGGGGCTTTGCCATCACCGGGTCACAAGATGTGTGCGAGCCGTCGCAACTTGCAGGATCGGTCCAGCTGGCCAACGGGACAACGTATGAGGAGTTCTATGATGCGTGCCATGTGTCGCTCCAAGGCGATACAGCTGGCGGAGTCGGCTGGATGACGACGGTATTTGGCTTCAACAACCCCCCTTACGAAGACGGCAACTACGGAGGTTGGACCCTGCAGACTGCTCTCGAGTTATGTATCAGGGACGCAGCAGCTGCTGGTGCAACCGTGATCCAATACTACGAGAACACGGACGAGCTTCCCACGTGGTATTGTTTCGGTGTCAACAACGTGCCGGCGCTGGAGGATTCGTTCTACGGCGATGGAAGCGTCGGCCGTCTGTGGGCTTTCAAGCTGGATGAGTCCACCCTGCCGACATTGCAGCCCTTCTGAGGGGATGCACATGGTGTGCCGTTGATACCAGTCAAGTGAGTGGTATCCGGGCTGAGCGGGAGTTGCGCATCCGTACCTCGTCTTTGGGGATTTACAGTATACTCCCATAGCGGTAGCATTTCATTTGTCGATTAGCGAATCCATAGGTCGAGAATCAGGAACACGAATCGACTACTGTAATTACAGAGTCGGCCGCATCAAAAGCACTCCGAAGTCTGGAGTTGACGGGGACTCCCCGGGCCTATGAAAGCGGTGCCCGGGGGCCGCATAAAGGCGGAAATTGTGGGCGTCGTGGGAGCCGAAACACCGATGTCGGTGGGAGGCAGGTACATACGAGTTACGAGCAACACCAAATTAAGTCTCAAGAAATTGTGGCTGACCACGAACGCCCGGCCGCCCTTCGACATTAGCCTTCCCTCGACTGCTCCTCATATCGTGACTCCGAGGTGGCACGTCGACTGGTGCAGCTGCCACTTGAACTCATATCTCTCCCCTTCGTGCCACATGAACAGAGGACGATAAAACAGAAAAAACCATGTCGCTTCCCCGGCTATTGCGCAGCCCTTGCGCACGCGCACTCACCTCGTCCCCCTTCAAGCACAACTCGCTGCGGCTCCCGCCCTCGTCTAGATTCTTTTCGTCGTCGAGACGACGGCTAGAGTCGCTACGCGTGGAGGATGACCTGTCCTCGAAACTGCCGGGCATCGACCCTGTAAAACTCGACGTCACCAAGACCATTACTCCCAAAGCACTGGTGCCGAACCAGGACCTTGTGTTTGGGAGGACTTTTACAGGTATGTTGTGCTTGCGAACCATGACTCGGGATCTGACATTTCCCAGACCACATGCTGTCCATCGAATGGACGGCTTCTCAAGGATGGTTACCACCCCGGATAACGCCGTACCAAAACCTCTCGCTCGACCCGGCGACCTGCGTGTTCCACTACGCCTTCGAATGCTTCGAGGGCATGAAAGCGTACAAGTGTGAAAAGGACAACTCGCTGCGGCTGTTCCGGCCAGATAAGAACATGCAGCGGATGAATAAATCAGCCGCGCGCATTGCGTTGCCGACATTTAATGGCGACAAGCTGGTGGAGTTAATCGGCACGCTCTGCAAGCTGGACGAGCGGTTCATTTCCTCCGAGAAGGGCTATTCACTATACCTGCGGCCTACGCTGATCGGGACCCAACGGACACTGGGTGTCGGGCCCCCGGGCTCTGCACTGCTCTACGTGATCGCCTCGCCCGTCGGACCATACTACCCGACGGGCTTCAAGGCCATCTCGCTGGAAGCGACGGACTACGCTGTGCGTGCTTGGCCCGGCGGCGTCGGCGACAAGAAGCTCGGCGCAAACTACGCGCCCTGCATCGTCCCCCAGCTCAAGGCCGCGAAGAAGGGGCTACACCAAAACCTGTGGCTGTTCGGACCGGAAGAGTACATCACCGAGGTCGGCACGATGAACCTCTTTGTCTGCATCAGGAACAAAGAGACGGGACAGAAGGAACTACTGACGGCACCCCTTGACGGGACGATCCTGGAAGGCGTGACGCGTGACTCGGTGCTCGCGCTGGCTCGAGAGCGGCTAGAACCCGAAGGATGGAACGTGGCGGAACGCTATGTGAAGATGCAGGAATTGGCTGACGCCGAGAGCGAGGGACGATTGATTGAGGTGTTTGGCGCGGGCACCGCAGCCATCGTGGCACCCGTACGCAAGATTGTCTGGAGAGATCGTACACTGGATTGCGGGCTGAAACCCACCGAAGAGGCTGGGGAGATAGCCAGCAGGATGAAAGGCTGGATCGAGGGCATCCAGTACGGTGATGAGGATCATCCGTGGAGTGTGAAGATTCAGTAGGCAGTGCGTGTGAGTACAGGAACGAAAAGAGGCCGCCTGGACCTGTGTCGTCTAGAGCCTGTTTGTATAGCTGGGTCTGCCAAGAGAGCATTTTATCAAGCCGTCACCGGCTTTGGACTCGGACGTCATCGTTCTCTGAATGCCATACGTGCACAGTACAATACCTGCCAGTCCGTCTGTCTGGTCGTGATTATCGGCCCCAGCTAATAAACCGGAGGCTTCCATCAAAAAGCACGTGCTGGATAAGCGTTTGAAGCCCCCAAATGTCATACGACAAAGTAAGTTTGTATTCCGTACTTTGAACTCCGACAGTGCCGGGTAAAGAAGACTTTCGGAAAACAACCTCACACCACCGAGCCAAAATGGCGAATGCCTGGCCCGGCTTCCCGGAAGCTTCTGCACGATCACGATGGTGCGTGCATGTGTGAAAAAGCACACTACACCGTCTCAGTACAGTAGAGCATGATAAGTCCACGCGACAAGCTGTGCTAGCTACAGTACCACGCGAGAGAATATTCCAGTCGTTCTTACGAGCCAGGCACACTAATACTATATCACGGCCCTGCTCAGGTCGTCCCGAAACACACACATTGTGTACTGCGCAGATAGTATGTATCCCTCGCCACCATCACATTCGACCTAATTACTCGGGTAGCTAGCTATTCGGTGCAATCGCGATCCCATTCCAACCACAACAGTCCCCAATACCGCCCTGGTGCCTCACGACATGACCAGCCTCGTCAGTTTCGGGTTTGTCGCCAACTTCATCCACTCCCAATTCAAACCCCTCGCCCTCCCCTCAACCAAATACACAGGCCAGACCATCATCGTGACGGGCTCAAACGCGGGTCTGGGCCTCCAATCAGCGCGCCACTTCGCCCGTCTCGACGCCGGAAAGGTCATCCTCGCCGTACGGAGCCGCCGCAAGGGCGAGCTGGCCGCCACATCGATCGAACAATCCACGGGCTGCCGGCCTGGCGTCGTCGAGGTCTGGGACCTAGATCTCAGCTCGTACGCGAGCATTCAGGCGTTCGCGGACCGCGCGGCGAGGACTCTCGACAGGATAGATGTCCTGGTCAACAACGCGGGCATCGTGACGTATGAGTTCGCGTTGGTGGAGGGTACTGAGATGACCATCGCTGTGAATGTGGTGGGGCCCCTGTTTTTGAGCGTGTTGCTTCTCCCTAAGATGCGCGAGACGAGTTTGCGGTTCAATAAGGCGTGCGTCGTCACGTTCGTCGGGTCGTTTGTGCATTTCATGACGACGTTTCCTGAACGGAAGGCGCGCAATATTCTGGAGCAGTTGGCGAGCAGGGAGAGGGCGGATATGAAGGATAGGTGAGTACGGAGTGTACTACGCACGGTACGGTAGGGTACGGAGTGTACTACGCACGGTGCGGTAGGGTACGGCGTAGTGCTATTTCTGGTGCCTCCTACCTGCTACCTACCTAGGTACCGTCGTCACGTTTGCTTCTTCACGCCGCCCTGACCCTGAGCACACGCGCCGATAATAGGCTGATCTGACTTGCTGCCACAGATACAACGTCTCCAAACTGATCCAGCTGCTCCTGGCCCGCGAACTAGCCAGCCAGATCAGTACCACTCGGTCCGAATCCCAGTCCGACGTCGACGCCGACTCTGCGAAACGCAAACCCGGCACCATCATCATCAACGTCGTCAACCCCGGCTTCGTCAAGACCGAGATCATGCGCAGCGCAGGCGGCGTCTTATTCCGCCTCTTCTTCGCGCCTCTCCGGGCTATCCTCGCGCGGTCCGCCGAGGTGGGTTCCCGAACGATACTGCACGGCGCGGCCGGCGGGAGGGAGACGCATGGGCAGTATTTGAGCGACTGTGCCGTGACCGAGTATGTATTACACGCCGCGGCCCCCCCTCGTTCGCGACGCGGTTTTCCATGTGGATATCTGTCCGATTGTTCTCAAGCACAGAGCCTCTCTCTCTTGTGTGTTCCTGTTATATTGTTCTCCGATGCAGAATTGACCGACCAAATGACTGACTGACTGTGCGGCGTTTCTAGGCCGTCTGGATTCGTGACGAGTGCCGAGGGTGTGGAGGTCCAGAAGAAGTTGTGGAAAGAGGTGGGCGAGGTGCTGGAGCGCGTGAGGCCGGGGGTCATGCAGAATGTGTGACGTGTCATGTGTGATGCTCGCAAGGTTTGAGGCCGATGGGCGTCACCTCGCTCTTGGCAGTTGTTACTCGTTTCGCAGGACGGGGGGGAGTCTCACAGACGGGGGTGAGTCTTGCAGGGGCAGAGGGGTGTCTTGCAGGGGAGAGGCGTGTCTTGCAGGGGCAGAGGGGTGTCTTGCAGGGGAGAGGCGTGTCTTGCAGGGGAGAGGCGTGTCTTGCAG